AATTATTTTTATATATATCAGATCGAGTAAGGTCGGGTTTGTCTAAAACCCGACCCCAACCCGACCCGATCCAATACTCGATTTAAAAAAAAAAATCAACCATAAAAAATTAAATCGGATCAAAACTCATCGATTTCAGGTTTTTTGTCTTCTCTACTTGTCACCCACCAACCTCTCCATCAGATCCTAAACCCAGAGCTCCCCTAATTTGCTGAGCAAGTTTTGGATTCTCATAAGATGCCTTGTTTTCTTGGCAAATTTGGGAAGTTTGATCATAATTTTGAGCTGGGATCCAAATAGAGTTTAATGGCATTCACATGTGAAAAGCCTTCTACTTATAAGGCTGAATCATGTTTGCATTTATGGATGTGCTTATCCATTTAGATATAAAAACAATGATAAGTATTACTTCACTCACTTGTAAGTAATATTCCATTCTTCTTAATTTCCTGTCTACAGTACAGAGATTAAGAAATGTTGACTTTGATGTTTTTATATTATTAAACCATTAATTTTTTTTCTATTTTATGAATATAAATAGTTTTAATTCCAAAAAAAAAAAAAAATGAAAGGACTTATAAAAATGTCATTAATTATCAACTAACGTTGTTTTTGGATTGCATCTCATCCTCAGCGATGATAAGATAGCGATCAAAAGACGTGCAAATATCAACTTTTGCATCCAAATGGATGCACAGCGCGTTTAAAAATTGGTCAGTCATCAACTGCCCATTTTTGGTCCAGTTGGTGATTGGCCAGTGAAATTTTTTTTTTTTTTTATTTTATTGGTAAGTTTTATTACTATACCAAAAATGTCTTAAATTTTTTTTTTATTTTGATTTGTTATTTAAAAATTATAAAATAATTTTCTTAATTAATATAATAAATAAATTTTATTACTTAATAATTTAATTATTATAAATTTTTAAATAATTTATTAATTTTATAAATTTTAAATAATTTATTTTTTTATTACATATACATTTTAATTTAATATTTTTAATAGTTTTTTTTTTATTAAAATTCACTTAACTGTCATCGTTGCATTTACATCCAAACGCATATTTTCATCACTAATTTTAGTTTCATCACTATAATAACTAATTTCACTTTTACAATTAATTTTAATATTATTAAAATTAATCTTACCGTCTATTCAAATGAATCTTAATTCAACTCTAAGTATTGCTAACAACTTAATATCAAGAATTGCCCTTCACCAAAAGGCATCATCTAGTAGGTTTACATGTGTATTTGGAATAAATTTATGGTGAAAGGGTAGTTTAGGTATTGAAATTTAAAATTAAGGATTTGAGAGTTTTTTTATTTAAATATATAGATTTATTTTGATAAAACTTAATTCAATATTAAATAATCCAATTTTGTTATTGCATATATATTTTAATTTAATATTTTTAATAATTATTTTTTTTATTATAATTTACTTAACCGTCAATGTTATATTTACATCCAAATACATATTTTTATCATTAATTTTAATCACATCGTTATAATAATTAATCTCATCTCTACAATTATTTTTAAATTTATCAAAAACAATCCCATCATTCATTCAAATAAACCATATTTCAAGTCTAATTATTGCTAACAACTAAATATCAAGAATTGCCCTTCACCAAAAGGCATCATCTAGTAGGTTTACATGTGTATTTGGAATAAATTTATTGTGAAAGGGTAGTTTAGGTATTGAAATTTAAAGCCAAGGATTTGAGAATTTTTTATATTTAAATAGATAGATTTATTTTGATAAAACTTAATGCAATATTAAATTTATTTATATACTTTTGGGATTTGATTTATCGTTTTATATTTGAGTTATATATATCTATTTTTTTATTTAATAAATTTTTTATTTTGTCTATATTTTTTAAGATGGTAAAGCATTTGTAAATGTAATACAATGAGAATTTTAAATTGTTTTGCTCATTTGAAAAAGTTACATATTTATTAGATAAATCTCAAAGACAAAGTGAGGGTTTTAATCCTTGTTTTAAAACAAAATGAAAAATGAAATTATCTAATTAAAAAGAATATTGTTAACGTAAATTCTAATGTTGACTTGCCCTAATAAAATACCAGACAAAAATTATTTTTTAATAATTAAAATTGTCAAAAATTTAATTTTGATCACTCAAATTTATGTCATTTTTTAAATGGTAAATGTGAAATATGACATTAAACCTCTTTTTCAAGTCAAATTTGTATTAATTAAATGAAAATAATTCATGATCCTCTTATCTAGCTCACCTTCCCAAAGAATTAATGCAATTTTAAGTTTTAATTAATTTGTATTGGAATTATTTATTAGCATAATTACATTAATATCTTTAATTTAATTTGTAAGTTTTATTAAGTTTCAAAAAAAAAAAGAAAAAGGTAACCAATTGTATAGAATCGAAATTATTTGTTCAATCAATTAAAGCTCATCCTCACTGACGAAAAGGTCTTAAGTTCGAGTTCTGTCGGTTACCACTTGTTGAGATTATCTTGAATGCATGACCTACAATCATCTGTTTTAAGCTGTTAGATATGAAATATTTTGTCTTGATCTAGAAGATTAAATAGCTTATCTACTCCTAGATTTTACGTAACCAAAAAAAAAAAAGAAAAAGAAATTGGTGTTGAGAAGTAGACTAATCAAAGCTTAGCTTGTAATCTCAATAACCCTAAAAGAGTGAACATACCAACACATAATTAAATCAATATAAATAGTTGATAAAACTGCTTCATAAGATAAACTTGGGTGCTTTACTGAGGGGTTGATTTGAAGCAAAAATTATGTAAAAAGCTTTTCTTAAACAATACATGAGCTTTTTGTCTCTACCAAATGAGTAACTTAAAATTTAAGTTGTAAAAAGGGTGAAACTTCAATTATAGTTCAAATTACTTTAGACATAAAAAATAAAATAAAATCTTCATAACTAATGCTACTTTAAGAGCTAATCAACATTTCTCTCCAAAAGACACTTTAAATTAGAGAACTTTGATTTTAATTTTATTCTCGAAATATTTTACATAAAAATCAAATACTTACTGATATAAAAAAATAGTTTTCTTGCAATCAATTAGATTAATTTTTTATGATTGAAAAGCTCGATCTTTTCGTAAATTATGTATAAGAAAAATAGATACAAATATAACAAATTTTTTAATTAATGAAAAAAAAAATAATAATAAGATCTAATTAGATAGGGAGATCTTATTTTATACTCCATGCTTAAAAGGGTGCGCTCCTAGTCATAGATCAAAGATAATTAAGGGGGAGGGCTGTTGAATCAATGCCCTTGAACAAAAAGTTCTTTGGCTTCTTCCTCTTCTTCACTTTCCAATGAAAATCTCAAAAAGACCAACATCCTTTTTTAACATGTCCCATTCTCCAAAATCCTAAGACCACCCTACTCACCACCAATTTCTCCCTATTATTATTTCAAACATAACCCAATATTATAAGATTTCTTGCCCCCACCCCCCTCTCTAGAAAAAAAAATGAACATTCATATCACAAAGAAAATTAAAGCCCCCTTTTTTTTTTTTTTAATTTGCTTAATAAAATTATGATAAAACATCATCCCCTTGAACATTCTATTGCTTTTGATGAACAAGTAGGAACAATTTAATCATTAACAATTTGTCAGATGTAACAAATTTTGGGTCCCAAAACATTGTATATTAAACGATAATAAAAGTAAATAAATCGACAAAATCTTTTTTAATTTAGGATCAACCGTTTGATGGCTCCTAAAGCTGGTGAAAGCAACGGTGTTGATTGGGTTATAAATTTGAAGATATATACAAAATCTTCCATTTTGTCCAGAGAAGAAAAAGTGATGGGAATAAAAGTAGTATTGGCCTAAAAAGACTGATTTTGCATAGTAGAAGGTTAAACAATTGGACACAAATACAAGGAACCTCATCATTTGATTTCCTCTTTCTTTAAAAACAATCAAAGAAAAGATGTATCTAGGAAAAATAAATCCCACAAATTTCAATAGAATGGAGGATGAAGATGTTGTATTTGGGGTATGATTAATGCAATATTTCCAATACATGTGAGCCATGAATTAAAAATAAAGAGTGAGAAAATGAAATGATTTTGGAAGATTGGATGTAAAAATGTTCTAAAATAAATATTAATGAAATTATTTATAAATTTTAATTGATGTTAAAATTATTTTTTTAATAAATATGTTTTAAGTGAAAAATTATTACATTTAAAATTAAATATTATATTCATCGAATAAAAATTTTGACTTACAAGTAAAATCATTTGAATGTCTGACCATCATACATTCAAATGTCTTTAAGAAATTATCACACAAAATGTGAAATTTATGTAAAATATTTTACTATTAACCTTATGGCATTAGGATACTTAAAAGTAAATTTATATACAAATTGCTTTTTATTATTTGATTTTTCGAATTCCCTTTAAATAACATTTGAGTCTTGTTATTTATTTTTTATTTTAGAGTCTATTTATTAACTTCCAAAACATTATTTTTTTTAACATAAAACTACATGAGTTTTATGATTTTAAACATTTATATTTTGTAAAAAAACACTTACAACACTTCACAAAATATATGTTTTGATAATATATAGGTTAGAAGTGAAGGACCAAAGTGGGGAAAAAGAAAACAAAGATGGAAAGCAGCCAAAGGGAGCAGTCGATTCAAACATCTGAATTCCAAAATGGGAAGAAAGTAAGAGAAGAAAGTAGAAGGCAATAGAATCTCAGTCAATCAAACTTTTTATAAGCCGATAAACTCAAACAGAGTCTATCATCCTATAACAATGACAAACTTCATTCATTCTATTCTGAGTATTTAAAAACTTATTAATCAAATTGCAAAATACCCATTTCCCCTCTTCTCTCTCTTTGAATATTAAATAAATAAATTTTAGAAATCTGGATATTCTGGGGAAAAACAAACTGAAAAGGAAAAGGAAGAAATTGGGAAGGGAGTCAATGAAAAATTCATGTCTTTTAAGGGGCATTAGTCCAAGCTTTTCTTTCGCTTTTTTCTTTGATTCTTCTCTTTTTCCTTTTTGGTAATTTTACTTCCCTTTTAATCCTCAAATTTCCTTTCAATAATTTTTATTTTTCCTTTCTATTCCATTAAACAATGAAAATGGCATATTACCAATCAATCATCCCTTCCCCTCTATAGGAAACACCCATCATTGATCCCAACAATCCTTTTCAACCTTAGAAACCTGAGCTTCTAACATATACCCTTAATTCCATTTCCATTTCTTTTCCTCTTTCCCTGCTCTCCTCCCTCTTCATTCTCCTTGCTATTCTCTGGATGCCTATTTCCTATCCATTTAAATATCCCTTCTCTTTATAACATTTTGTCCTCGCCCTTACTCCCACTCTTAAAACTCCACTTTTTTTCTGACAATGGATCCATCTTCCAACAGCTCAGTCAATGGATTCTACACCTTCCTTACTCGTGGCATAGATGATCTTGAGCGTATCTATCTCTCTAATAACTTCATGTCAATCCAATTCCTTCAGAGGGTTCTTTCCCTTCTCCGATCTTTCCATTCCCAGCTACTTCTTCTTGTCCAAAAACTTCATCTTCCTGTTGGTGATAAGTGGCTTGAGGAATACATGGATGAAAGTTCCAAACTTTGGGAAGCTTGTCATGTCCTTAAATCGGGCATCTCTGGCATGGAAAATTATTTCTCTGCTGGATTTAATATCACTTCTTCTCTTGATAATCATCGCCATCTTAGTCCCCAACTCTTCAGACAGGTTATTAAGTTCCCAAACCTTACAACTTTACTATCCAAGTTGAGACTTTTTTTTTAGTTGTTAAGCATTGAATTTATGATCTGATTTTTTTTTTTTTAACTATTGACAATAGGTCATCCGGGCAATTTCAGGGTGCCGTAGAGAAGCTGTGGGATTGGAAGAAGAGAACAGGGCGTTTATAGAAACAAGAATCCAACCACTTTCATTAAGGTTTGATGAGAAGGTTTCTATCGAATCAAAGCTGAATGGGTTCAATGGTTTCCGAGGAGTTTTATATGCAATGAGGAATGTCAGCTCATTGCTTTTAATGATCTTGCTGTACGGGCTGGTTTATTGCTGGCCAGAATCAAGTTTCTTAAGAGGAGGATACGAAGGGTATCTTGTTTTTGGATCAGCTTTCATGATCTCAACAGCAAGATTGCAGCAAAGAGTGGCAGCAGAGATCAACCAGATGAATGGGAGGCCAGGCATATTGCTTTATGAGTTTAGGAGATCAAAGTTGGCTATGGAAGAGCTGAGAGGGGAACTAGAGAGCAGGTGTGGACAAGGAGGGGTGCTGGAGTGGGAAACAGAGGTGGGGATAAGGGATAGAGTTGAGAATCTTAAAGGGTGTTTTGGAGTATTGAGATCTGGTGCTGAGAATATAGTTGGGCAACTCGATGATTTCTTTGACGAGATTGTTGAAGGGAGGAAGAAGCTTTTGGACTTTTGCAGTCATAGGTAGCGAAAGGAGAGAGATGAGAGACAGTAGGACGGTTGAAAATAAAAAGTAAAAAACAAAAAAAACTAGGTAGAATTATCAGTTGTTGGGGGTTGTTGTACCTTTTAACCCTTGTCTTCCTTCTAATTTTCCCATTTTTTTCTTTAAAAAAATTTCTTTGTTGTTTGTTTCTGTTGTGGAGATAGTAGTTTGTTTTCCCCAAAGCCAAGAGAAATACATGCAGGGGACGGGGAGACAAAATTGAGTGATTCAGGGCTTCAACAATCTTAAAAATATAAACAGTAAAGACAAAAAAAAAAAAAAAGAATGTTAGGACTAATTTCCATGCAGGGCAAACCAGCATTATATGTTGTTTTTTACCCTAAAAAAGGGCATAGAAGCTTCTTGTTATTTTTTTAACTGAGAATATGAGTCAAACCCTGAATTGTTGTTAAAATACTTAGTAGGTATTTTATTTATTTTGAAAGTGGCTTTCCCTCTTGATCTTACGGTACAAAGATTAAAGCTTTCGTCTGATTGAATTATAAAATAAAACATATGATTGATATGTATTCTAATCATCAGATTAATTTTTTTTTCTTATTTGTTTCGTTCCTTTCTACAGACGAGAGTAAAAGAGGTGCTCTTTAGTTGTTATAGCAAATGACTTATCATTCTAGAGGTGACAAAAATGATGAAACAGGAAGGGGGGAGGTAAGGAGTATAGGGGAGGACTGTGAGATTCCTGGGTAGCTTTAATTTCAAAAGCAAAAGCAGCAGCGGCAGCTGAGCTTCTTTGATCGTTGGAAGCTTTTGTCTGATTCGGTTTTCAACTTTGAAAGCAATAAAGTTTTGATGAAGAAAGCTTCTAACCATATCACCTCTTCCCGAAATGTCCCTTCTGATTCTCTCTCTGTCTCTTTTTTTTCTCCCCAATTTATTTTTATTCTGTCGCCAGTTCCTTCACCTTTTGGGGGTCTGTGGAATTGTAGAACTAAAGAAAAATATTATTTATTGGGGGGGTGGGGGGGGGGGGTTTACTTTCTCACTTGTTACCGTATCTCATGCTTTTTGTCCCAGCCGGAAATTCATGCCTTGCCTCCCTTCAAGGGTTCCATGAGAGGAGGCTGAGTAAATTATAAAAAAAAGCATAAAATAATGGAGGAAGATACATGACAGACAAAAATCAAAGTAGTGAATAAATAAAAAGCCAGCCGTTTGGCAGTAGTAGCAGCAGCGGCAGAAAAATTATGTTTATTGAACTGTTCTATAGGCTACGTAGTACGTATCATTACCCATTTAATAACACACCAAGCCCCACATTATCACCCAAATCATGTTTCTTCACTTTATTTCCTTTTTTTTTTTATAAAGTTTTCAGCTTTTGTTTCCTCTTTAAACCGGTTACTAAAACTAGCCTAACAACAAGAATAAAAAAATAAGATACCTGGAACAACAGGAGCTATTGCAAGTCAATGCAGAGACAATTTCATGGTCTGCAGGAAAAAAGTATGAAATATTATTAAAAAGAAAAGACATTAAAAGCAACAGGATAGTTAAAGTAGTTGTTTTCCTTGTTTGAATTATCCAGAACAAACAGCAGCAACTCAACAGTGCTATGTCAACCAATTCGGTAGGCTGAATATTACAAGTTTGGCAGGATTTGTTGCCAAGTTTTTTTGCCATATGGAGCTATACACTTTCACTGCCTTACTTTGGTCTCAGTCATTAGAAAAAAAAAAAAAAAGACCAATTATGGGAACTAGCCTGACTGAAAGCATCATAAATGACTTTATATAACTTCTTACAAAATTACAAAAGAGAAAGACGGCTGGTTCAGCAAATTGATATCTGTAAATTTTTTGAAACATATCCAGAACTGTTGATTTATTTTTCTGTAATTTACACAGGTTCAATGGGAAAACATGGATGGGCTAGAATTATTGGATTACCAAGAAAAGGTGAAGGTAGCCAGAGAAGCAAGAAAATGATGCCAAGTTGCATGCAGGCCATCTTATGAATCTTTCAAGTATCAAATCCTGGCATTGCAAACTGGCAGGCAAATGCCACGACCTGATTCCGGAGACCAACAACATCTTTATTATTGTAAAGACCATTGAGAAACTCTTTCCGCAATTTACCATGATCTCTCTGCACAGCACTCGTGATCTGAGCGGCTCTATAAAGAAAGTCAGCAATTGTCTCAAAATCAGACTCTAAACAACCTCTCGATGTCATAGCAGGCGTACCTGAGAGAAAATTAGGAAAATTAAGACATTAATGGAAATGGAAAATGGAAAATGGAAAATGGAAAATTGTAAGTCAACAATTTGGTGACAATAAAATAAAAGAACATAGTAAGTGAACCACAATAAATGACCTAAATACATGATATAGTGGGTTAAATAAAGTATAAAACATCCATATTTAAAACACTAGGAACCTGTAGTGAATTTGCTTATGCTATTTTTGATGTTTTTAGAAGTAGACAACTACATGAATAATAGAGTCACTCCATAAGAAGAAATATTAATGATCATATGAATGTCAAAAAATGTTTTAGGCTCCAATAAACTCATTGCTAGTTAGCTGGCAAGAAGCACAAGCCAAAAACACAACATGTTTTCTTAACACCTTTGTAATTCAAATAACCTTTGTGGTTATAATACCACTGTAACTACTACAAGAATTAGTCATTTCTAAATATGTTACTAGCGTATACAGAACGTATTAAGGCACTTGAAAGAACTGATTAATATTAGCACAGCACATTATTTTACCAAATGGCTCATTTCAGTGACTGTCAAACCAAAAAAAAAAAAGGAATCTGCAAACAAACCTAGAAAACGTGCTTTGCCTAACAAAAAATAAGGAATGATGTATTGTGACCTTTTATGAAGCTGTCAAAAAGCAATAGAAATTTCTTTAACTGAAAAAACAAGAATTCTGCTTACCAATTCTCACTCCCCCAGGAGAAATAGCACCATTATCACCAAATATAGCAGTTTTATTCAGAGTGATGCGGCACATCTCACAAACTTTCTCATACCATTTACCTGGGAAACAAAAAGAAAAGAGTTATTTATAGAAAGGGTGTAAGGAAGCACATTTATTAATATGCAGGAAATGTACTCTGTGTACAAATAATTGCACATATTAGGTTGTTTGTCATAGTAATTAATTACGTGATTAATCAAACTGGTTAAACTTCAGATCCTTAGTGAAATATATGGAACAAATATTAAACAATCTTTTTAGCTTGTCAAATAGATGGGCTGGTGAGATGTAGACAGAAGAAAAACTTGTCTGAAAGCAACTGGCTCACTTCTTTTATGATTCTCAAGAAAATTGACAGCCTTTAAACAGAACCATCAACTTCTATTTTCACTAGTCAGAATCTTGTATTACAGTTAATTATTGGCTTTTCTAGATTTTATTCATAAGAATTAACCTATTCATACTTTCTACATGGAAAAAACCACTTCATCATATGCTTTCCCCTTTTGAAATATAGCCGTGAATAATGGCAAAAAAAACATAGCTTTGAATGAGACTCGTAAAATTTATTATAATAAACTGCTAGGAAAGAAATCACAAGGAAAGAAAGTAGCTTCGAAATCCAAAAAGAGACTAACTAGAAAAAAAGGAAAAAAAAGTTGAAGAAAGCCATTAAGGAGTTTAGGGTGAAAAATTGGTCACAAAGGAAAAAAACTACAATGTTAACATAATCAAGAAAAATCACAAGAAGGAATAACTTAATTCCAACCAAAAAGAAATTCGAGATGTTAGCACATATTTCCTCAGCATGAAAAGACACAAAATTTGTGATATTGAGCAGGCAAGATTAGGGAACCTGTTAAGCCTAGAGTAGAGAGATCCCAAAGCAACAAATGGTTGTCAGTGCCCCCAGTAACCAACTTGCATTTTCTTCTCAGCAGAGCAGAAGCTAAAGCCTGAGCATTTTTCTTCACCTGTTGCATATATGCTTTGTACGCTGGTGTAGCCGCTTGCTTCAAGGCTATAGCAAGAGCGGCAATGTGATTATTGTGAGGTCCCCCTTGTAATGATGCAAAAACAGCAAAATTTATCTTTTCCTCAAAATCATGCTGGTCACCACAATCACTATTACCAAGAGACATGCCCTGTGTTCTTGATTTTGCACCCCTCTTATAAAAGATTATACCTCCCCTTGGGCCCCGTAGACTTTTGTGAGTTGTTGAAGTAACAATATCACAGTAGTCAAATGGACTAGCACATTCCTGCAATGGACAAGAGTGAACATGCTGGTAAGTGGAAAGAAAAACACAAAATTGCATTGCATGAAAAGGCAAATACTGAAAGATTTCATCAACATGAAGAGCCATTACATGTCAAAGCTATTATATTTCTTTCAAGGATTGAAGCATGTAGAAGGGATTTGATTTTCTTTTCGGGGTTGGGGGGGTTGGGTTGGTGCCTCTGTGGGTGGTGGTCGACAGTTCAACCCAAAACCCAGCACACATTTCTGCTAGTTCAAGTCTGAAATTCACACAATCCTTCCTGTTATTTTGAACCCATATAACCCTAACAAATTAGATTTGAGAACTGTTGAAAGGCAAAACACCTTGTAGAAAATCAACAATCTATAACTTTGAATTTCATAACCATCAAGGATGAGCTAGCAACAGATAAGTATTCAAACGAGCAGAGCTCCCCTAAATGCAATCAGCATAAAGCCAACTGGGCACTGACTATCAAAATCATATGATTTACTATATTATCACAATAGCAGTCAAAATATAAATTCTATCATTACCAGTCTCCAAAAAACCCACCCTTTTTTCTGAAATGAGTACACTCATTCAACCAAAAGGAGAAATGAAAACAAGGAAGGAAGGAAACATCCATTTCCCTGACTAACAAGAACAAAGGATAAGGTCTATGTGCATTTATATGCATATAAACTCAAAGCATATGTGTTTGAGTTGACATATACCAAGTCAGATAAACTCAAAGTTATTAGGGAAGGAGAGGGTAAAATATGAAAATCATAGAGATCCATTGTGGCTTATAAAGTCGGACAGTTCATGATAATTAGATGATAAACCAATCTATCTCACACAACTTAATAGACAGGTTCAACATGGGCTCAACTTCAATAAGACATAAGTTACAAATGCTGTTTGGGCATACGAATTCACAAGCTGACATGATTTGGTTTCCACCAAATAAAGCTTAAGCTTTCTCTCTAAAGGGTAAGTAAAGGGGTTTTTTTTTCCTGGTCTTTGTTAAATGTAAATGTTAGCATGTATGTTTCAGTCCAGTTAAGTTGCATGAGATCAAAAGTTGTGTGTGAATTGCATGCATATTTGGCAGGAAAACAGTAACACTAATTGATTATTTACCAACAGCAATGCTACTTGTAAGTTAATGTAAGTGGTATCAAAGCAGTGAATACTTTTATAGATTAGATAAGTATCAACTCTAGCCTATTACTATCTAAATGAATTGCAAGAAATCAAATACAGTGCCAAAAATTGAGAGAAACGTCAACACAGAGCAAAAAAAACTTTATGTTAGAATCAAAACACAAAACTAATAACTAATCAAAACAAGACAATTTCAAACCTTAGCTGCCACAAGACCACTAATATGAGCCATATCGCACATCAAAACCGCTCCACATCTATCCGCAATTTGTCTAAACCTCGCATAATCCCACTCCCTAGGATAAGAACTCCCACCACAAATAACAATCTTGGGCCGATAATCAAGCGCCTTTTCCTCAAGCTTATTATAATCGATATACCCTGTTTGAGGATGAACCTTGTAAGGAAAACTCTCAAAAAATATGGAAGCAGCAGATACTTTCTTCCCACCCGGCATATACCATCCATGACTCATGTGCCCTCCGGATGGCGAATCCAACCCCATGATCCGATCACCAGGCAACAAAAGTCCCGTATAAACAGCAAAATTCGCGGAAGTACATGAATAAGGCTGCACATTGACTCCCCATTTCTCGGAATCAAGGTTAAAAGCTGCCAACGCACGTTCTTGACATAGGGTTTCGATTTTATCAATGAAATAATTGCCCGTATAGTACCTCGCTCCAGGCATTCCTTCAGAGTATTTGTTTGTTAAATGGCTTCCTAAAGCTTCCATTACAGCTTGGCACACAAAGTTTTCTGAAGCAATAAGCTCAATTCCTAAGAATTGCCTTTGCTTTTCCTCGTTCATGATTTCACTTAATTCTGGATCCGCGTCTTCTAGCCGTTGGTTTCCCCATGACCGGACCGCGGTTCGTCTTTGGTCCAGACCGGGATCAGGAGCAAACAGTTTACATGGGTTTGAAACAGGTTTAGGATCCCTTTGTCTTTTCCCACCAATAGATTGCCCTAAAATCCTAATTTCTCCATCTTCTTTGATGTGATTTTTGTGCACGCTGTTCTCGAAGGGAGGGGCACCGTCCTCTTTTTGCTCGAAGAACTGTAAGGGAACAAGCGGGAACGGATTCGATGGGCAGCGAATGCTGGTGTTGATTCGAAGCGAAATAGAATCGTCTACAATGGAATTTTTAGTGAAACCCAGAGATAGACCCGATTGAGCATGAGATATATCCATTGAAACCCTAATTAAAAAGGGGAAACTTTGAAATTTGAAGTGTTTGGGGAAACTTTTTCGGGGGCTCGAGGGAAGAGCTCACAGCTCTAATGGTATGAGTAAAAGCAACAGAAACAACGGCCCTTAAAGCAATTACAGCGGAAAAAACGAAGCCTTGGCTGATTCGACGTGGAAGCAAATACAGAGGTTTCCATAGTAAAAATATTTAAAATTTTTTGGTGTTTTCTCTTTTATATTTTTTGTCAATTGAAAACCTTGAAAAATGGGAATGTGCTGTGGAAAGGGCCGAAGGTGATCGTTAAAAGGGTCCCCTTTGGTAACTGGTGGCAGACGAAGACGTGGTGAATGAACCTGGATCAGATTTTGGGCCTGGTTGATTTCTTGACCGGGAATAGCAGGTAGGGCATACGGGCCTGTCCCGGTTATATTACACGTGGCGAAACTGGATTACAAAGAAAGTTTTCCTTCGTCTTAACTGTTAGCAAATGTAGCCTGAATGACGGCTACGTCCGCTCAAGCTTGTTTTTCCCTTTCTGGGAAAGACGATGGATTGGTCCACAGCTTGGAATGGGGGCCCATTTGGTTTTCATCTTTGTAAAAAACGAAAAAATTTGTTTTTTGTTTTTGTTTTTTTCCTTCCAAATTTCAGTTAATATGAGCTGATTGGCCCAACAAATTGTAGCCCAGCCCAGAATCAGAATAAAGACAGGAACGTTTCTTTTCTGTCCGAGTGTTACCTGGATTAAATGCTTCTTTTTAAAAAGCATATCATTTATAATAATTGAATTACAATTAATTAAATAAAATTTATAATTAAGTAAAATCTACTATAATATTACTTAGAATCATATATAATTATAAGCGGTAATTTTTTATATAATTATAAAATTATAATAAAAAGAATTATATGTAAAATGCTACTTCTTTTACCTTTCTTGTCGTCCATTGAGTCTTGCTAATTATGATATTTCAACCAAAAACACTTTCAGAATATTTAGAATGACCGGCATCAACAAAGAGCCTCCATCTGCATGTCAAAAGGAGTACTGACCTTAGGACGAAAATGTCATATATATCTTATATTGGCTAAAGCCAGCATCAATAAAGAGCTTACTCTATTATTCTTGTTCGTTTCGTTCCTGACCCTTTTGGACAAGCCATGGCTGCGTTAAAGGAATGGTTCAACCTGGTCTGACTAATCCCAAAAAATCCTTCCACGCTAGACGCTGTACTGAAAGGCGAGGGATCATCATTTTCGAACCAAGTGCTCATATAATGCCCAGGTTTCACTAAAACTGGGTCAAGCATTGCTAGCAAGAGTGGTCTTGCACTAAAGGGGTTGTCCTTAAGAAGAAGATGAGACGATGAACTTTTGTAGGATGGATAGGTAAAAGCAGAAGCCAACTCTGAAAGAGTCATGGGTTGGCCGTGGATGCAGTCATGCATATGATATTTGGTATTTCTAGCTGAACAGCACTGTTTAGTGACATGGAGTTTATGAATATGAACATATATGTTCCCAAACATGTGCTTTAGCTTGAAGAAGCTTATCTAAATCTACATTCTCCCCATTGACCAAATTCATCTTTTTTATGCTCCCTTGGAAGTTGAAATGGCTGTTACAGAAAGAAAGCTTAGATTATACTTACGAGAGCGACCAAAACGCTCCCCGTAACTAAAGACAAAATAATTGCCATCAAACTCAAAGATTTGGGTTAGGAAAATCGTATCAGCAGAAACCAAACCAAGAAAATATGAAACCTGGAACTGAGCCAGTCATCGAATTTCCTCCAATCATCAGAGTTCAATGCAACTCAAATCAAATGAACGGTACATATACAGTGTAATAAAATGATTCATGTCAACAACAGTCAAAAGTCTCCAACAGCACAGACTACTAAAACAAAAAACTCAGCATATATGTAAACTACTACTGACAAAATCATATTAGGTATCAGCTCAGCTTCCTGCCAGCCTAAAATTATACCTGCAAAACAAAGATTTAAGCAGAACAAATCACCATGGGTGATGGAAGGCTCAAAAAGAAAACAAGAGCATCTCAACCCAGTACTGAACAAGAAAAGGACATATATATATATATATATATTTATAAATCCATGCATCAAAATTTTATAATAGTACCAGTTTACACCCAAATTAGTGGCAGACTCGTCATTTGCAAATCGGGAAATTTCTTGTTTTGATGCTTCATTCTTGACGGACAGTAGGCAGCGGCCAGCAAGAATAAACAATATTTATGTATTCCAGTGTTTTTTTTAAGAAGATGAAGGTTTGAGTCTGGTCAAACTTGATCACAACCTTTATCCCAACCTTCAAAATCCTAATTATCCATGTACAAGTTTAAACATGGTCAAGCATATCAAATGGATGACATGAACCTAAGGTTATGTTTGTTGTATGAGATGATAGATAGGATAGAATAATAATCATTATGTATTATGTTTGGTCTATATTTAAAGAAAAACTAGGATTATAAGGAAAATTAATATCTTCTTTATATAAAATGATTCAATTTTCTCAAAATGGAGAGGATTATTTTTAATCTATAAGATTAAACTTGTATGTTTATTATACCTTTAAAAATTACATCAATAATTTAAATTATATAAATTTTGAATAAGGATAATTTTGACCAATAAATAAATTATCATATCCTAATCTTTGCGCATATCAAACACAAGATTAGATGATATTATTTAATCTAATCTTATTTATAATATTATTTTATCCTATCTTATCATAATCTTGTATACCAAATACATCCTAAGAGCATGATCTATGAAACAGCAACATAACAACACAAAATAGAGCATTTTTAGACGTACAAGATGCTCCAGGTCATACAAAAGGAAAGCATATCACGTAAAATCAATTATTTACAAAAAGCAAACAAATCGCTGTTACTTCGACAATAAAAACATCGCACTTAAGTATCAAATTGCAGTAGTAGCATGACAAACTGGTGAAATCCAATCAGAGAAACCATACCGAAACTGTTACTCATCTGGATGATGTAGACATGGATTTCATTCACAAGGAGAAACTTTGAAATCTGAGACTCTTTGCCATTGGACATCTAGTCTGTCAAGCAGCTTCGAATAGCCGTAAGTCAATGAAAGATCTAATGAGTTCTTTAGACTCGTTGCTTCATCATATCTTTTATCACCATCATCTTCCATACAACCAACATCATCAAATCTGCTTCCGACAGGCTCTTTCATATGGATTATCTTGCCAAACAATTGAAACGAACGAACGCCTACTTTGCTCGAGTTGCAGCCCCCATTTTCAGTAGGTTCTGTGTCAAAGGAAACCATGCTGCTCTTGCTACCCAGTGACAAGTCATCAGACTGTGAACTGCCAATGTTGAGCTCAGTGGATATCGTATTCAACTTGGGCACCATATAGTTGCCAGAGAAATTATCGGTGTACATCATTGGGGTATTCTCACTCATAGAGTTTGTTAGACTTTGCAAGTGAAAATGATTTTGCCTGGCTCCCTGCATGCCTGCAGGAAAAGAATTGTAATTCAATAGTGATGGATTCATATACCCCATTGTTGAATTAGTTAAACCTATCATAGGGAAGAAGATTTCTCCCTCTGCATTAGTCAGCCCAGAATCCTGAGAAAACTTGAACTTTTTGGCCGAGGGGAATGAGGAATGAAGCGGTGAGGAAGAAACAATTTCAACTTGCCATGGGCTCACTCTCCGTGCATTCTGGAGAACTTCAGGTTCATGCCATGCAACCTAATGATATAAAGATAATGAAATAGTGAGTTACCAAGTGTAAAGGGGGAGAAATTCTAAGTAGCAAAATGGATGAAAACTTTATCTTAACACCTCTCAAAAACTTAAATGTAGATTAAAGAAACCATATCCTACCACAAACCCAACCCCCAAAATGCTGCCCCTGAAATAAGAAAAACATAATGCAAAGAAGAAACTATTCTCCCATTATTACCAGTCATAGACACATGGGTAAAGAGAATATTAAACCAGACCTCTACTAAAGCACCGAAAGATCACCTATTCTCTACTAAGAACATAGGATGACATAGTTAGGAGTATCACAAGATACATTTCACCTAAGCATCAAATAAAAAACTTAGGAAAGTACAATTTGATGGGATTTGAAGTTAACATGACTAAACTGCATATTCCTTGTTAGTTAAGTGACTCAAAATTGAATAGATAAACACTTTATTCTTTTAAAAAAATATAAAGATAAAGTACTAGAATTTTAGATCTACCCACAGTCAAATCAAGTCAAATATAAGAATTTTGATGATTTACAAATGCCTTGCCAAAATGCAATAAACAAAAGAAAATACGAACACCCATCTTACCTTGAATGAGAAACCACTATCTAAGAAGCCACTCAAAATCCAAAGACGCCTAGAAGAAAAAATGAAAAATGGTGCAAAATAATTCCTAATCTATATCAAATTCTAAAGAAATCCCACAAATCCATAATCTGAATTGCACCACCGCAACCTTGGCCAACTTCCTATGGAGAGTAACTCCAAGATTTGTTTGGCAGTTTCGCAGTTTCTGTTTCTCCAAGCTCATTAAAATTTTAGAGTAATGATTCGAAGCCTAATATGGGGCACTGATTTTAGGGTATGCAAAAATAGATATACACGAAATTAAAATGCAGCCAGCTACCAAATGTGTAATCTCATTTCAACCGCAATTCCTCCAGTCTATCATATATCATCAGTACTTATTATGTATAAGCATTTCGCACTGATCCACTTTTAACTGCCCCTAATTTATTTAACAATGTTGAAAACTTAGTACATACTTATTGATTAAATACGGAATTAAATTGTTAATATTGAAGTTAACAGTAATCCATACGGGATTAAATTGTTAATATTGAAGTTAACAGTAAAACACATTCAATTTAATAACCACAATTCTAACAATTGAGCCAAAGCAGTTTTACCTGAAGCATTCGCCAAGGAGAGCCAATCCAGGGGCCAGAATCAGGTACAGCGGCAGACACAACTGTCCCTTGAAACCACGTCATTCGCGAGGAATCCTCCGTCTCAACAGCCATCTTCACTCTGGTGCCACGAGCCCAGAATAAATTGAGTCCAGCCTCTACCAATTCCGCCCTCACCACGAAATCAGCCCAACCGGCCCGAGGATAGTAAACAACCTCGAATGGCAGCCCCTTCGCTGCCGTCTCAGCAGCTTCTGCAACTGCCTCCGCCGTCATCCTCCCCCTTCCTTCCCCTTTCATTACTCCAACATCACTTGGCTCTCTCCACCTCCCAGAATCCCCGCCGCCTTCTCCTCCCTTCATCGCTCGCCGGACTCCAATATACATTTTCCAATTACGGTCCCTCATGAAGACAACAGAATCGCCAGCGATGAGCTTCTTTTGATTAATGAACTTGCTCCATCCCGTAGTGAGCAGATGCCGACGTGGCGTTCCTCTGTAAATGTGGCGAAACTCCCAAACGCGGCCACGAACGTCGGTGACAGAAAGCGTCTGAACCGGCGGGTCTGCATTGTAGTCAAGCGGTGGGAAAATAGAGTCAGCACAAAAACGCGGGACGGAGAAGCCACCGCCATTGTTTGCATCGGACGGCGTTAAAATCTTGGCAAACGACACGACCTTATCAGAATCTTCAACTTCACAATTAATGTTTAGAAACCGATTGGGAATTCTAGAAGGTTCGACAGGGACGAGGAGGAGTTTCGCGAAGGCTTCATCGGTTTTCGTATCGGCGAGGCAATGAACGTCGGAGATAACGCAATGGATAAGAGGTGTAGAGAGTACGAGAGAAGAGAGTAAAGCAGTGGAACCGCAGGCTTGTTCCACGTGGCCTTGAGGGAAGTAGTAAACCCTAGAATTAACAGTGGGGATTTGAACGGAAGAGCCAGCGCTAGCTCGCCAGATCCTGGAATCGACATGGCAAACCTCCGCATGAGGAGGCCGTAGAGGCGGCATCAGGAGGCTTATGGTTTAGAGAAGAAAAAAAAGAGGGAATTAAAAAGGGATTAAAAAAAGGGGAGAGTAGGGTGTTTTGGAAAAGGGCAGAGTCTTAGTCCTTGTTGGTTTATTTTCTGGTTTTATAGTGTTTTTTTGGTGTGTCTGAGGTAAGGTAGGAAAGAGAGAGTTCAGTCTCAGGGGGCAGAGAAGCGGCAACGAAAGCTAAATTTTGTTAGTATTCGAAGAAAGGCAGAGAAAAAGGGCAAATTTGATTGGTTAGAAATTTAGAGTTTTAGCCCACAACGGACATAACCGTCTCCACGTCACTCTTGTCACGCTACTTCTCGAGAACGTGGATTACAATCGCTTTAGAATAAAAAGTAATTGAATTATGTAGCGGTACTAGTGTGGTAAAATAGTAGTACTAGTGTTGTAACTGGAAATAAACATGAACTGTCTTTCGGTTAATGTACGAAAATACCCTTGATGATGATTGGGGAAGTGAGGAAGTCAACCAATCGACGGTTAGGAAATTTTTGAGATTGTTTTGGTTGGGTTGGGAGAGAAAAGAGAGGAAATTGATGTGGGGGGAGGCCGTTAAGGGGAATTTCGGAGGGAAAGAGAGAGAAAGACAGATTGCAGCGACCAGATTTGATGCCTTGCTGTGACGATTTGCATTAACTGTGCGCCGACATTGAATTTTTTTATCCTTTTTTTATATTAAAAATAATTTAAACACACAAAAATAGCCATTACATGATCATAATCTGGACCGTCAAATTGTTACTGTAGTAGTGATTTTTTTGTCATATTTTATGGTAATTTTATCCTTTCATCTTTCTCATCTGACAGTGATTGGTTTTTTTTTTTTTTTGAAGAACATCATTTAGCTGTATCAACAAAAAAGAGGATAATTATCTTGCCTATGAAGAACTTTTTAATTTTAAATTTTTCTGCTTAATGATAATTTTCTCACATTCACAATTCCTCTTTACAGTTTTACCCCCTCCCCTATTTATTTTTAAATTTTTATTTTTCTGCTAAATGATAATTTTCTCACATTTCCTTCAGATGAATTTACATAAATACCCAATTCTTCTCACCACAAATTGTGTTGCTTTTTTTTTTTAATTTTTTCTGACAATAAAATTGATTAATGTTAGAGATGTTACTAAATTAAATATAAATAAATTTTATTATATTAGTTTAATTAATAAATTTTAAAATATTATTTAAAATTTTTATTAAATTTAATGAACAAACATAAATATATAAAAATTAAATCTATTCACAAATTATTTGTTGAACATTCTATTAATTGACATCCTAATGAGCACGTCTTAACAAAATTTTGATAAATTATACAGTAAAGTGTTTTAACATACCATGTTACAATAATATTCTTCATAGACAAATTAATGATTTGATCTTTTGATCTAAACATTCCCCACTTTCATACCAACTGGTACCCCTAGGCCCTACCACCAGTTTGCACCATACCAGTGCCTATTGAGGATTAGACTTAGGTATCGGACAAGCCTATTAGCTTTTCTTGTCTACCTCGTTTGGGACATTCTTTCAGCATTCAAACTTGAAAGAAAACAAAAGAAACGCTAAGATAAAGTAGCAAACTTCAACTCAATTTTTAAGCACAAACAGACAATAGTAGGATGAAGCAAATTAAGACACCAGACTCACACAGAAAACAATAAACCCAGTAATCACAACACAACACAACAAACAGAGAGCGTATAGGCGATAGCTCACTGTTCCTTACTTAAAGAACTCAACTGTTGCCGATATAGCCACGGCAAAGAAACTTATGTTACTAAAAGTAGTAGTCCATCTGCTATAAGAGCATCATAAATGCAACTATACCAGGAGCTTCAGAATCACTCCTCTTCTGACTCGGACTCAGCATTCTGAAGCCACTCAACGAAGGGCTTGACATTCTTCCGAATCTGACAACTCTTACTGCTACCAGCTACACCCTTCTCGTACCACTCCATAATGATCTCTTCTTCCAAAATGTCATTGTCATACAGGACTTTAAGAACCAAAGCCACCTCCTTCGCTGCCTCGGGCCTACCCTTGCCACAAAAAGATTCGATAGAACAGAGGAGCACCATCTGCCATCCCTCTTCTTGGGTTGCTGCTGCCAAGTAGTTCTTCTGTTTGGTAACTTCCTTTGCAAACCCCTTCCCAATATCATAAAAGAGTGCTGTAAATAGCGCATCCATGACTTCTTGGGAGGTTCCTGAGAGCGAACCTAGGAAGGATTTAAGCTGAGTTGCAGAGGACCCCTTCTTGAGGTATTCCTTTATCTCATCAACAAGTTTCTCATGGGAAATGACACCATTCTCATGTACCTTAACCACATGCTCCGGAGAATTCTTCACAGACTTTTTCTTCTCTTCATCAGTAGAAAGCATCACCATATCTGCAGTAACAGCACTCAACTGCTCTTGGATACGCTGTCGAGCAGCCTCCAGGGAAGTATCTGTTTGCCACTGGACATCATCATCATCATCATTGGACAACTGTTCATTCTCATCAGACTGGCTGTGTGCGGGGGAGTGATCCTCATCAGAATGTTTGCTTTTCTTCTTGGTTACTACACCTTTGGAAGCAGCAAGCTTTGAAGTGGTAGAGGAACCTTTCTTCTTTACCTCCTTTTTAATCTTCTTCAGCTCTTCATCAGCAGCCTCACCCTCCTTGAGTCTTTCCTTTTCAGCCCTCCTCATTGCCTTCTTGTCTTTTGATGACTTCTTTGCCTCAGGGGGATTCTTAAGAATGAAAGTTGTAAGCTTATCCCTCATGTCAACATCAGAAACAAACCCACATGCAGCACATTTCAGGGTAATCATCTGTGTCTTAGTAATGACTATATCAGTTTCAGGATTCCCACAACCATAGCACTGCACATACTTCTTAATGAAGTTCTCAAGAAGTCCTGCAAGCTTGGCAGTATCATGGGCCCCATTTACAAGTGAAGTTCCAGTCTTCTCATCAAACTTGGATTGGGCTCCCAGTTCATAACCAAAATACTTTGTAGTGTAAGAAGCAGGTCTAGCCAAAGCCTTTGCAATCTCAACCATGTTAACCACGTTAGTCTTGATGCCATTTCCTCTCCCTTCAATCTTAGTTATCATTTTGGGCATCTTATACCTATAAAAGGCATCATCACTGTTTGAAGCACCAATATTTTGCAAAGCCATCTTGATCAAACTGTGGGAGAGAGTTACTCAGAAAGGACAGATCAGATACTGGTGTTTCCAATCGTGGTGAGAAATTCTTTACTAGACTGCTTCCTTGCACTTGGAAGAGTTCGCATATAGCGGCAACCCGGACACCGTTTGTTATTGGCCTCAAAATGCATGCAGATAACTTCAGAAGAGGAACTTCTATTCTTTTTTCTAGATGAGGGACAGTACTCTCCAAGCAATCCGATTGATGACAAAAAGAGAGAGGCCCGTTCAGACATAAAAGAAGATTCAAAAGAAACAACTTCCACTTTGACAAACTGCAGACACAGCAGACTTAACTGCCAACTTCCTGAAAGACAATAAAAGAGTTAATCCAGGAAAAGGTTAAAATATATATAAATAACTGGTAGAAAGTCATCAATATCAATAAATAGAACAGGTGGCATTAGTTCAGCAAGAAAAACACTGAATCAACGAAATAAAAAGTTATAGTAAAATAACATATTGAATCATAACAATACAATTTTCAATATCATATATAGACATATAAAAAAAAAACTTGAAAACTAAACATATGTTAACTTTCAAATGTCTATAAAGCATCAGAATTAAAAAAAAAAAAAATCCATTTCTTAATCGCCTATAGATTCCAATATTAGATCATCCAAATGCAGGATATCTATTAATCGATTATATCAACATTATCAAAACCAAGATTTAATTCCTTTTTTTTTTAAGTTTCGCCATAAGAACCAAACCGTTGAAATGAAAGGAAAAAAAAAAGAATTCATTATATTAAGGTCGAATTAAGAATAAATAAGATCCCAATACTAAAACCTCCAAGTCATACAAAAAATAATAATAATAATAATAATAATAAATAAAGATTTGGAAATATTAATGAAAATTAATAAATAATTATCAAGTTCTGCAACTCGGAATAAATAATCTAACGATTCTATTCAACGTTTAAATAATTGAAAAGTTAAAAGAAAAAAAAATAGATTTTATATCTGCATCGTAATCATCTACATACGAAAACCCGTATCCACAAAAATTAAAGAAAAAGTTTAGAATATAATTAATCTATCCGATCATCGAAAATAATCCAAATTCGAAGATCAATCAAAACAAATAAGCTCTTAAAACAGAAAAAAATTACATAAACAGATCTACAACGATTCAACACCAGAAAATATAAATCTAACAACCGGGCAAAGAAATGAAAGATTAAAATCAAACAATGGAAGAGTAGTAAATTAAATCGAACAGATTCATCTAGATTTGGATACTGAAGAATCATACCTTTGACGAGATGAGGAAAAAAAGGCTGACTTGATGGATTGGGAAGAGAAGCCGAGGCTGGAGCTTTGTGGAATGTACTGGTAAATGAATGTGGGGATTTTGAGAATAAGGAGAGTAGCACGCGGCCTTATATATGGCAAGTCAGGGAAAACTGAAACGCTAGGGCAAACTCAGCAATCGGCTTCTTGAATTTTCGAAAATTAATTATTCTCAAACCGACTTACTTTATTACATTATTGCCCTTAATCCCATTCTCTATTTACGATTTTTTTTTCTTGCCAGATATATTTATTTTTTGTTTTGGATAAATGCCAAACTATTTTGATTTAGTAATTGGTATAAGATTTATGTCTCAAAAAATAAAATAAGCGCTTCAAAATTAGACTAAAATTCAATTAATTGAGATTCATAAGTTGAATAACATTTTTCAAAAAAAAATTTATTCGATCATGTTCATATAAAAAATACCAAATTATGAATATTTATCTTTAAATATTAAATAAAAAAATTGTAAGTAAAGTAGACTATTCCTTAAATTAATTGACATGTCATTGAAATTAATATTTAAAAATTATGAATTTAAAAAATTTAGATGCATAATATTTTTTCAATTAAATACATAATAGGATAAAATTATTTTAAAATAGATTAAAATTTTTAAAATAAATATACAAATTATAAGCTAATGGGTCATTCTATAATGGTGGCCCATCTATTTTGGATTATCTTATGAAATTTATAATTTCCACTATTGATTTGAATGTATGATTCTAAAGCACAAAATAAAAAAAAAAAAAATTGAAAACCGCCTTAAATTTAGCATTTAATATCATAAACAATTGTATGACTTTGCAAGAACACAAAAATTAAATGTGATTGATATGGTTAACCAATTTTCGTTTAAAGAAAAAAAAGAATTTTACAAGTGCTATTATTGTTAGAATGTATGGGTTAAAAAGGAATTTTATACATGATAATGTTTCTAACTCTTAATTTTTCTGATGTCTTTGTATTTTTTCTATAAAAAAAGTTATATTTTATATTTTATATGTTTGTAGTAATTCTTAACTTTTTCATATGCCCATGTTAATATTTTATAATACCTTTTTTATTTTATTAATATTAAAATCTATAATATCATTATTATAGAATATTATTTTGAATTTTTAATATACAATTATTGAGATTGAAGTTTTTTTTTTTTAACATTCCTATTAAATCAAAATTGAATATTTAACTTGAGATTAAAAAATTTAGAAAATATAATTCTTTATAAATTTATTAAGTTTTACGTAAATACATTTAAATTAATCTAAAAAAATTGTTGGAGTATTTTTTAAGTTTAAAAGGTAAATTAGTCATTTTTCTCATAAGAAATTGTCGAAAGACAATTAAAAAAAATTTTGATTTTTGGATCGATTTAACATATTAGACCTATTTAACATGTTCAGTGCCATTTTTAATTTGATTACGTCACTTTTTATCTCATAAGTCTCTCATTTTTTATCTATAAATAAAATCATCAAAATATTATTAAGTTAATCAAAATTTTTTTATTTTCCTATTTTTTTTCTCTTTAATCTTTTTAATTTTGATTTCTAATTTAAACATCGAAAAATAAAAACAAAAGACACCTCTTACCTTTACTTTTAATTATTATTTTTTATATAATTTTAAAAATATTATCTATCAATTCGAAACTCAACAATAACAAATATGTTAAACAAAATTCATCGCCTTACTAACTTAATAATTTACCTTTAAGAAAAGAGTACCTATCATCACTAGAGGGAAGCCATTAAAAGTTGTTTAATATTTTTTTCACTAATCAAATTGTCGTATGTATTTTAACTTAAAGTAAATAACTCATTACTTGTTATTTGATAAATATATTAAGATTATTTTATTACATAGATATAGATGAGAATGGAAGAGCATTAAAAAATAATTTTTTTCCACAAATTAAAAAAAATTATCAAATTATTAAAAGAAAGATCATGGGTGTTATTGGAAATCAAAGACGGAAGAAAAATCATCATAACATAGCTTAGGTGGCACCCATGCGATGATATATGGCTAAGTAATTGAAATTTGCTTAATGAGCTGGCTGAAAGTAAGAGATATTTTATTTTAATTAGGGAAAAAGATATACATGATACTTGGACTCCAAGAAAAGCTTCTCTTGATGCTTTGTCTACGATCTGCGTTCTACTTTCTTATGGTACCCTTTTTCTTGCTTTCTTCGTCGCCAAGAGGTGATTTGCTACTGTTAAATTAAATGGCAAATCAAAATTTGTTATATAAAATTCAAATTTGATGTTTGGGAAATTCAATTATTTTGTTTTTTAGATCTAAATATGAATTACTAGATTTTAACGTACATTTAGCTTCTATTTTTTTTTAGATTTAGATATAAAAAAATTAAAATAATTAATGAAAGATCGAAAATTATCTCGATTCAAAATTAAAATAAATTTTAAATTTAAAAATAATTTATATTAAATTTACATATCATTCATCAAATTTTTTTATATAAATTGATACACATATTAGTAAATCGAATGCTCCTCAAAATTACGTAAATTTTTTTTTTTTTATAAACTGAAAGAAGATTATTTCGCCTAGTCTGACATCACGGTAAAATGAACAATATCTTAATTCTTCTATAAGTCAGGTCCATGAGTTGTGGCATGAATAACTGAGGAGAGGGGCAAGTCTATAACGTGTAAAAGAACCATGAAAAAATTTTCACATGAACCTAACTTTGATCAGAAATGGTTCAAAAAGCAACCCTTTTTTGCGCAAGATTTTATTCATTCTGCTGATCCAGGGTCATGGTTATATACAGAAAGGAAGAAGCCTTCTTTTTCTTCATATTGTCAAAAGTTTTAAAAGCACTATGTTGAAATATGTTAACCCTTTGAGAAACAAGATTTAAACTTAAGGATGACAAATCAGAAAGGAAGAAAGAAACAAAACCAAGACAAAACCCTAATTCCCTATGAAAGATTAAGCAATAAGAGAAGACTCTTGTCCCAACTCTGGACCAAAACAACCACAATTAGGTGAAAAATATTATGTAAAGTTACCTGAATCTGATCTAATCACTAGAAAATCTGCTTTTAAGCTTTGTAAGTGAAAAAGATCATATCAAGTTTGTCTCACTGTCAAAGATAAGCTATGCAAAAACTTGGACCTTTGCCTTGGTTTATACAGTAAGTTATTTAACATCTAAAATGAAACATGAAGATTAGTGATTGCTTTTCAATCTCAAAAAGTAAGGTTTTTATAATTAAGTTTTAATCGAATTAATCTAAAAAATTGATTTAATTTAATTAATTAATCAATTATTGAATTAATTTTCAATAAATTATACTTGAACATTTAGTATAAAAATTTAAATCAAATATAAATATAATTCATCACATGACATTTTGATGGATATAAATGTGATAAATTTTGTTTAAATTTTAATCATATATTGATATATGTATGGATTATGATCAAATACAAAAGTAGCAAATGAAAAGATTGATTTTTTTTGTAAATTACGAATGAAGATGAAACTTTACAAGAAAATTTATATACTAGTGATGAAGTTTATTCCAATAATAATAATATTTATCCGGCGTTTAATTTTGTTTTTGCAAAAGGAAAATCGACCCATAACTACTTTGAAAGCAACGAGCTAATTTATGAAAGGTAGGCGGGACTTTTCAACATGAGTACCAGGAATGTTAATGGGTAGGGTACAAAGAGAATAGAGTATTTTTTATTTTTATCTTAAATTTTTTATATTATATTTATTTTTATATTTATATTTAATGAATATTTTAAATTTAACTTTATTTCATCTTTGTGAGTATTTAACGAGGATAGATAATTTCAGACCCTATAACTTTTTTAAAAAATAAAAATTAATATTTATTTTTTTGGCTTGTTTATTTTTATCTTGTATATTTAGATAATTTTTTTATAAAAATATATTAATATATATTTTTTAATAAAAATATATTAATTTTAATTAATATAAAATAATAATTTATATTATTTAATAAAAAATCTATTTACTAGATATATAAATATATATAAAGTATGGGTATAGATTGAATGCTACATTACTCATTTTCATCTCGTACCTAATAAAAATTTAAAATTATACGTTTTCTTTTTATACCTATAATATAACATTCATTCTTATCTCCATTCGGGTAAAAAATTCAAATTTTTTATTAGATATGAATAAAATTTACATCTTTAAGAAAACTTTTATAATTTCTCCAAGTTGACAAAGTCTTTAATCATGTCACTTTGCTCAAGTTTCCTGGTGGTATAATTGTTTCTTTTAAGAAAGTTAAAGGAAGTTTCCTCATGTATGTGAAAAAAAAAAGTTTTAGAAGAAGAAAAAGATAAGTATTTTTTAATTAAAAAATAAGTAATTTTTTAAAAACTTTATTATATAAAATTGAAAAACATGAATTCCATTGATTTTATATTTTTACTATTATTTTTTAATAAATTTATTGACTGAACTTATATCAATTTCACAACATCAAACTCAATTAATCTATTATATATAATATAGATAAATCACTTTAGGGGTGCTTTTTCCTTTTTGGTGTCTTAAATTATTTAAGATTGTAACTTAATTTCACTTTTATGTAGTGTTTTATATGAAATTATTATTCAAAAAATCATTGTAATATACATATGGTGATTATATCACCTCATATTTGAAAATCATTTAACGATTTTACGTGATAGTAAATTTTTAATCACTAAAAATGATTAGATTAATATCTTTGAGAATGATCTAATTCTCATATAAATGAGTGAAAAAATTTTATCACTGGAGTGAAAAGATACATAAAATTAATAATAGTTAATATGATATATTTAATTTGTGAATTAAAAATTTAATTTTTTTTCAAAATTAATTGTAATTATTTTAAATTATAATTTTTTATTTTTTAAATTAATATTTATTATAACAAGTTCAAAAATAATTTATTTTTTATATTTTTAATATATATAATATAATCTTTTGATTTTAATAAATTAATTTATTTCTAACTCAATTTTTTTTGCATAATTTATATTATAAAAACTAGTTTACCTCTCAATAATTATATTTTTTAATTTAATAATTTAATTATATTTTATTATCAAGTAAATAAAATATTACTAATATTTTATAAATTATTATCTTTAAATAATATTTAAACCATTAACTTTAGTATTTTCAAAATATTATAATATGTATAGTTATTTTAGTATTTTCAAACAAAATAGTGTTTGATTTTCAATAATACCAAATACAATGATCATTTAATTCCAAAAAATTAATAATTCTTAAATAAACAGAATGATTCGAAATAACAAGTGATAAGATCATTTTAATAATAAAATCATAACGATAATTAAATTATCATGATATTTTTTAAAATGATACCAATCATTATCTTATTTAATTTGTGATTTTTTACACTGATAAAGTATTTTAGATTTAAAGATACAATGGATATTAAATCTTGAAGATTATATTTATTAATTTACTAAATATCAAAATTTTTTTCATTCTAAACTCATATAAGAAAATTTTTGTTTTGTTAAAAAACTACAATAAAATCAGCAAGTATCATGTCATCGATTAAAATGTTGGTATAAATAACAACAAATTAATGGAGAAATAAGTTGTTAATTATTCAACATGATACTATCTACCATACTACCGAGTATTACTGTTTGTACAAAAGGTAGGTTTAAGTCATATTGAAAACTTAGGGTACATTTCATTAAAATTAACAAATTTTTTTACCATATTTTCCTATAATATTACAATATAAACAATTAAAGACGAGTAGAGATGATAATTTTTTTCTTATCAATTACGATTCGATTTTTGTAAAAAATATTTCAAAAATAAAATTATAAAAAAAAATACGTACAAGCAAAGTTTAAAATATACGCGTAAAAATTAAGTTTAATATGACATTTTCTTTATTGCTAGCTCAGGTGGTATATATCAGGGCATAACATAAGATTAATATGATATTATTACGTTATAAAGTCAAAAGGACGTCACTTAAATATGTTACATTAATTCATTTATAAAGGTTTAGGTATAGCAATTAAAGATAGATAATTACGCCGCTTGAAGATAATAAGTCAAGTGGTACTTGAGTAAATTTAAAGAAAAATTTTGGTGCTTCTTTTAGTTAGCTATTATTAATTATTAAACATCTTTAGAGTATCTATATAGTTAAATTAATAATTTAACAAATATGGGATATAATGTTATGAAAAATTTTTAAAGGGATATATCTATTTTAATAAAAAATTATCACGATAGTGAAAATTTTAAACCTTATTATTAAGATTAATAAAATGAAACATGTATGTTAAAAAAAGATATGTGATAATTTTTTAATTTTATTTATAAAATTAAAAAAAATTATATTATTAGTGTATGACAAATTGAACTCCAATAAAAAAATTTCCTTAAATGTGTAGTAATACCTCTTAAAAGGAAATAAAAGCAATGTCTTAATGTTTGGAACACGATACTTAAAACCAGAAAAGTGAAAATGTCAAATAAGTTTTTGAATTAAAATTCAATAATTATCTAAGTTTTTATTTTTTTTAATCAATTAAATTTTAAAAAATTTATTTTTATCAGACTTTATTAAAAAATGATTAATTATTTTATTATAATCGAGAGTTTAATTGAATGAAAATAAATATATAAGAATTCAATTAAAAGAAAAGAATATTTAAAAATTTTATTAATTATAATAAAATATAAAAAATTTAATCGATAAATAATTTTTTGTTCATGGGGTTTTTTCGACCCTTAAACCAAATAAAAATAAAACAATGGAAAGACTGGTTTCCGTCCTTTTTCAGACAGAAAAAGTGAAACATTTAGGAATCGTTTAAAATCCAATAAAAAACAAGTCGGGTAACGCACCGCCCAGATACTGTATTTGGTTCAGACAGGTGGCGTGATTGGCATGGACGTGACCAAAACACGACAAAACGCCTAAACATTAAAGCGGCAATTCCTTTGTGGCCTAACTATTCTGTTTCTGTTCTTTTGACTTTCCAACGGGTGTAATATTCATTAGAATTCGTTATTCTCTATAAAACGGCTTCACATACACAATCACAAAACTCAGAATAAGTTGAAAGTTCTTCGTACTTGGATTCCATTTCGCTGATTCTACAGCTCCGCCTCGCTCCTTCTCATTTCCCTCTCTTCTCTCGGCCATGAAGCAACGTAGCCCCAAGAAAATCTCCCTTAAATGGATCCCGTTTATCTGCATCTCCTTCTTCAGTCTCGGAATTCTCGTCAGTAACAGGTCTTTCTCTTTCTTTGAATGTTTTTTATTTGCCGATTCCTTTTTCTTTTGTTGTGAATTGATTGATGAAACGGGGTCAGTGCTTTTTTTTTTTCTTGGTTTGGGTCTTTAATTGTTGGAGTGAAGTTTATTTTTGATATATTGATAGCCATTGGATTTTGGTTACAGGCTGTGGGTTCCACCGGAATCCAACGGTCAGCTCGCCTTACAACATCGACGTGAGCAGGAGTTGCAGAATGTCTCCGAGAATTGCGATACTAAGAAAGTATGTTTCTGTTATCTTCTTGTAATTTTTTTTTCAAACAAATTTTCTGTTTCTAAAAGAAAGTTTTACTATGTTACAGAAGCTTGCTCAAGATAATGACGTAATGGGTGAAGTTTTGAAAACCCACGAAGCAATTCAGTGAGTATAAAATTGGATTCTTATTGTTTTAGTTAAAATTTATTATTATTATTTTTTTTTTGGGAAAGTCTTATCTAATAATTTCTTTGTGATTACGATATTTGACGAGGCGTCACAGATCTTTAGACAAGTCAGTTGCAATGCTTCAGATGCAGTTAGCTGCATCACGTAGTTCTCAGGAAATGGAGGACTTGGATGCCTCCAGTGCTGTCTCAACCTTGGCTCGTGATGGCCCGCAGAGGAAGAAAGTTTTCACGGTCATTGGAATTAACACTGCTTTTAGTAGTAGGAGGCGGCGTGATTCTGTCAGAGAGACTTGGATGCCACAAGGTTTTGTAGTTTCCATAGTCTTTTTGAGGTTTTTATATTTGATTAGTTTGTTAGTATTTAATATCTGCAATGAATTCTTATGTTTATGTTTGAATAGGGGAAAAGCTTTTTCAGTTGGAGCGCGAGAAGGGGATTATCATCCGTTTCATGATTGGCCACAGGTAAGTCATTTTTCTCTTCCTTTTCGGTGCAGACATATTTAAAGCAAATCTTTTGTTAGATACAACTTTGGTTTGAATTTCAGAATATTTTGATTAATATGCATCTTTCTTGGCTAAAACCCTGGGAATTTGAAGTAGGTATGGAGTAATTGGTAACATTAAGCAAATGGTGCTTGTTAAAATGTGATGAACGTGCGAGAAATATACTTGCTTCAGTACATAATTTGAACTGATATAAGTTATATCTGCATTGTTTGACCCAGTGCAACATCCAACAGCATTTTAGATAGAGCTATTGATTCAGAGGATGCTCAGCATAAGGACTTCCTTAGACTGGTTAGACAGCACTCCCACAATAATTTTGGATATTCTTATAACATATTTCTTATCAATAACTGGTTTCAATCTTATAATGCAGGAGCATGTTGAAGGATATCATGAATTATCAGCAAAAACAAAAATGTTCTTTTCTACTGCAGTTGCAAAATGGGATGCTGAGTTCTACGTCAAGGTGGATGATGATGTCCATGTTAATCTTGGTAGTGGCTCCTATTTCCTCTCCATTTTGTTATTGAAAGCATTTTATCACCCAACATAATGGTGAAGAAGAAATTTGATTGTTTTGTAAATTGAATTTCTTATGCATGTTTTCCCATAGGTATGCTAGCTGCAACTCTTGGCCGTCACCGTTCCAAGCCCAGAGTCTATATAGGGTGCATGAAATCTGGACCTGTACTTTCTCAAAAGTAATATCCTGGTGATCTTTTTATTGTTGATAATATTACTGTCAAATTTTCTTTGCTCCCTTCTGCAAATTTGTAACATAACTTTTATTGATTCCTTTTTGTTCTTTAGGAATGTCAAGTACCATGAACCAGAGTACTGGAAATTTGGAGAGGAGGGGAACAAATACTTTCGACATGCAACTGGGCAGATATATGCAATTTCAAGGGATCTGGCAACCTACATCTCCATAAATCAGTGAGAACTTTGATTTTTGCATGAAAGTAGTCTGTTTTTGGTTTATATATTGCTTTGCCTTATTGGGGGATCTGATTTCATCTTCATGGTTTCTTGTATGTGTGTGCATTTGGCAGTGCCTTTACTATCATCCCCTCCTTTGACTTCATTTTTCTCTCATTTTTTTTTTTCTCCCAGTTAATCAAGTTGCCACCTTTTTTACTTCAAGCATAGTGTTACTCAAAACATTGAAAATCTTTTGTTATCTTTCATAAATTCTGTTAAAATTGGGCATCATTCAAGTCCTTAAATAAGTGTATATTCAAATAAAATTCCCCAGAGCATTAAAATGCTGATCAAATTTATCTACTTGATCTATAAGGCTAAATCAGACTGATGAATTTGTATATTGTTTTGATGTTGTAAATTTGCACCTTTGGTCTTCTGCACTGATAGTATTCTGTCTTAAAGGGCACAGCTAATATTTAGAGTGATTCTGACTGATTACAGGCCTATATTGCATAAGTATGCTAATGAAGATGTGTCCCTTGGCTCGTGGTTTATTGGCCTTGAGGTTGAGCACATAGATGATAGGAATATGTGCTGTGGGACTCCACCAGGTAATGTTCTGGAAGAATATAATTAATTTAATCTTATGCCAAACTTCATATAATTTTTAAGTACTTCAAACTATCATGAGGACCAATAAATGGAAGATGGAAAAAGGATGGATTCATGTTTATGTAATGATGCCAGTCCACCTGATGATCAGATGGGTTGCGGTTGCACTCGAGGGCACTTCTTGTTGTCAAAATCTAGGGATAATCTTTTCTATTTTTTCGAGTTCTTTAAGTTATTCTTAAGCATATCAAAGTGTGCAAACCATGGGCATCCTCAAGTTGTTTCAACTTATTAGTTTTCCTCTGCAAAGAAAGTGTCAAGAATAAGGTGTTAAACTTCGAAAATTCAGAGCACTCATTTGGATTTCATTAGTGCGTAACATTCATTTCTAGTTTGGTCCTCCTTCTAACTGTGTTCGTTTCCTGTACACAGATTGTGAGTGGAAGGCACAAGCCGGCAACATTTGTGTTGCATCATTTGATTGGAGCTGCAGCGGAATCTGCAAATCAGTGGAGAAGATTAAAATTGTTCATGAAAGGTGTGGTGAAGGGGATGCTGCGGTTTGGAGCACTTTATTCTAAAATGGGAAAGTTTTCTTTGGACAAATAAGATTAAACACGTGTGGTTGATGATCGAGCAGAGGCAGTAACGGTGCATCTGGTTTCCATACATATCTGCAGAGTGCAAACACATTTCCTCAACATAATACGAAAAATGAAGGCGAAGACATTATTCACGTGGTAGATAGGAGCTGTTTGATCGGAAAAGTTTATAGTAGCATTCAACATATCTTCCAATTCATTTTTTTTGGGTTGAAGAGGATATGATATGATAGTATTTATATACAAAAATTGTTATAGTTTTTCCATTTTTCTCATTTTGCATAGAAATTAAATGTGATACGTAAGAGTGTTGTAAAATGGTGGTCCAAACGCCAAAAGATAATGTATGGCCACTTTCATAGAAGCTAGTAAAATGTTGATGCTGCTACAGTTTTTAAATATTTTTAGCTTTGGAATTCAAACGTAAAGTTTTGCCTTCTTGTTACTTTTTAAAAGAAAAAATTAAAAGAAAAAAAAAACAGATAATTTATATATTCATATTTATTTTCTTTTGTTAAATATACGAAAAACATGTTTTTATATCATGATATGTATCGAAATATAATTTTTTTAAAAATTTATATATGATTTTATTAAAATTTTAAATTTATTACTTTTGTGATTTTTTTTTATATCAATATATGGTGTTCAAAATTATTGTATTTAAGTAATAAAAAAAAAAAAGCTTAATTTAGTGATTGTTTGATATAAATGTTAATTTTATCCATCGAAATTTGATTTTTTACTCGAATGGATATGAAAATAAGTATTACATTATGAGTATAGAGATAATGATGTATATGATTTTAAATTTTTATTAAATATGAATATAAGAACATATAATATAGCACTTGTTCATACCCATATCTTATATATATATATATTTACAAATAATTAGTAAATAAGTTTTTATTAAATAATATAAATTATTATTTTAGATAATTAAAATTAATATATTTTTATTAAAAATATATTAAAAATTATTTATAAAAAATTATTTAAATATACAAATTAAAAAATTAAAAAAATTTATTTTTATTTATTTTTAAAAACTATATGTATGGGATTATTCGTATCTATTAAATATTCATAGAAATGGAAATGAAAATAAATTTAAAATATTTATTAGATATAAATACGAAATTAAATATAATACTAAAATTCAAAAAAAAAAAATTCTATCTTCCACGTGTCTTAATTATTCACATCCCAATTATTTAATATTCCTCAAACAGGCCATAACCCATAAGACTCGGAAATTCCAACAGAAATGGCAAGAGCCCAACAATAATCACATCGCAGCGCAATTTGCGCAATTTAAATCCCAATTTTAATTAAAAAAAAACCATTTTATTAAAAATTAAAAATTTCTGTTGTCTGCAACTGCACTTGCACCTGCACCTCCGATCACGCGCTCCTCATTCTAGAAGACTTTCTCCCCCAAGCAAAAACTCTCTCGGCCTCTGTCTCCCTCTCTCTCTCTCTCTCTCTCTCTCTCGTCTCGAATCAACGTGAGCTCCGAAATTGTCAAATAATCGGACGGTGATTAGAGAAATGGAGAACGCCGACGTTTTCTTAGGATTGCAAGATTTTCTAGAGCGCATGCGCCAGCCTTCCGCTGCTGATTTCGTCAAATCCATCAAAAGGTCTCTCAATCTGTAATTATTATTTTTGTTCTAATGCTCTTCTTTACATGTATATGAAGACTTAAGATAGAAGGTGATTTGTGCTTAATCGGAAGTGATTAATGATTGTTTATTTGGTCGATGATTTAATAGTTGATTGCTCTAAATTCAAGTAAAATTCGCAGTTTCGAATCTGTTCTTTTTGTAAATTTATTGCCAAATAAAGCTTAATTTAACGCAATCATTTCTGGGTTTTGACTTCTGAGTTTTGGCGTATATTGCAGTTTCATAGTTTCGTTCTCCAACCATGCTCCTGATCCGGAAAGGGATAGTGCTTCCGTACAGGCGTTCTTTGCCAACATGGAAGCTGCTTTTCGAGCTCATCCGCTTTGGGCTGGATGCTCGGAGGAGGAGCTGGACAGTGCCGGTGAAGTAAGCTAGTGATACTTCTTATTTTGCTCGTATATCTTTGGGATTTTCTTTTACATGCTTAATGCGTTAAATTTCTTTCCTTTCTTATTTTTAGGCAATTTGTTTTAATAAAAGGAAAAATCTTTACCAGGGGTTGATGTATTTACATTTTTTTTTTTTCAACTACAGGGATTGGAGAAGTATGTTATGACAAAGTTATTTACCCGTGTGTTTGCTTCACTTCCAGATGATGTAAAACAAGATGAGCAACTTTCTGAGAAGATGTCTCTTGTCCAGCAATTTGTTCGGCCTGAGAATTTGGATATTAAGCCGACCTTTCAGAATGAGACATCATGGCTGGTAAGTGGTTGGATTGGTGTTTCAAGTGATTTCCTTTTTTTAGTATGTCGTAAACTTCACCTCCTGCATATGTTGTCCCTATGAACTATTTTTTTTTTTTTTTTTTTAATGTTTGGCAGTCAATTGTACTGAAAACCCTTTCAACATTTTGTAGAGTATACTTTTATCTACCCTGCTAATAGTGAAATTCTTATAGTAATGACTGGAAATAACAAAACATTTCAAGGTGTTCGCTCCCACGAAGATAAGAATGGATGGTTTTATCTAGAAATCTGGAGTGAACTCCTAGTTAATAAGAGGTTCCTAATGGTTCTCAAATAGCAATCAAAAGTCCATCAAACAAACAAAAAAATTAACATGTTTGTTAGAAGCTTCCAAGGATGGAATGCCGATAGGTATCAGCATTTCCATAATCTTTCTAACTTCTAAGGAAGGTCAGGTGGGTGGACCCTCTGAGAGCAAAAATCCTCACCGAGGAAGGAAAGTACATCTCTTTGCAAAGAATCTATTTTCCTTAATGAAGCCCTGCTTTGGGCCCAAAAGGAAACTTCTGTCTAAGTCATCTTAACATGTTAGATTCTTTCATGCCTTACTCCCAGCTTAAGACAGATGTCTAAGTTTGAGTTGAACTCATTATAGAGTTCTCCTCCCCTGGCATGATCAAATGAGGACCATAACATGGCTTGACATTGCTGTGTCAATCTATTCATGGAAGGCAGCTGAACTGTTTCACGTGCTAATGAATAAACGCTGATTTAGATTTTATACAATGAAGAGGAGGAAAACCATAACCATGGATGCATATTTAATCATATATAGCTGTTTTCATACTTGTTTGATACCTCTTACTTTTTCAGTTTTGCTCTGACACTATATAAAATATTCCCCCTTTTCTGGGACCTCACTAATTTTCAGGTCTCTACAAACTCAAAATATGACCAATGATATTGTCTTAGGCAACAGTGGTCTTATTTGATCCTGTAGCTCACTTTGATACAGTACTTGTAGCTCCTGCATTTGGTTATGGCTAATATTTTCGTTGTACGGAGAATTAAATAAACTCTATCGAAGTAATGTATCAACTGAAAGCTTTAGGTCCAGGTTATTTGGCCCCTTTTATAGAATGTTTTCCTCAGAAATATTTTCAGCATAAGAGCAGCAACTGGTGTTCAGTAGTTTTGGGTGCAAAATACCTGTAAAGTTGGTTGATATTTTTCTTACTAGCTCCAAATAGGTTTGTTATATTCGCTGAATTTCAGCCAGACAGGCTGATAGTGGTTAAGTGGGCTTATAGTAATGTAGGTATAGGATTCTGTTTACTATAAATGACCAGTCTTGGTCTTAACCAGTTCTTTATTGCAAATTGCCTACAATCTCTTCCCCAAACCCAAAAAAAAAAATTTCATACCCATCTACAACAAGCTTGTTATCAGGATAATGTCCAAACTAGTTATCATATATAGCTGCCTTTTTAATTTGATAATCTTATTTATCATACTTTGTTTTGTATTTTACTTATGGTTTACTAACTATTGGGCAGTCAATCCTACCATATTTGCTGCCTCTACTTTTTCTTGTTTCAAGAACATATTTATCATGTGCAAGAAATGTCCCAACATTTGAGTATGGTTTATTTCTATAAAAGTTTTTAATCAATGAAGCTTGTATATTGATATGGTTAGGAAGTTTGAATGTACCACTATGCTATTCTACCTTTTAGTCTCTCACCTGAATCTATACTTTATGTTGCCAGCTTGCACAGAAAGAGTTACAAAAAATCAATATGTACAAGGCTCCAAGAGATAAGCTTGTGTGTATCCTCAATTGTTGCAAGGTTATCAATAATTTATTGCTTAATGCTTCAATTGCTTCAAACGAGAATCCTCCTGGAGCTGATGAATTTCTTCCTGTCTTGATTTATGTTACCATAAAGGTAAGATCAGGAAGTTTGCAGGATTGTTTTGTTTAGTTGGTCCTCCCTTCATTCCAAAATGATTAATAATGTATTCTTCTCATGGAATTTGTTATGTAGGCAAATCCTCCACAGCTGTACTCAAATTTGTTGTATATACAACGTTATAGACGTCAATCTCGACTAGTTGCAGAAGCAGCCTATTTTTTCACAAACATGCTCTCTGCCGAGTCTTTTATCTCGAATATTGATGCAAAAGCGCTTTCAATGGAGGAAACTGAATTTGAGAAAAACATGGAGTTTGCTCAAGCTCTTCTATCTGGCCTTTCAACAGATTTGGATGGTCTGTCCAGTCAAATTGACCAAATTGATGGACATGATCCCAGAGAACCTACTAATGAATCCAGACATCAAACTCGTAAGGAGGACCATACGATACAACCCAAATCCTCTGAAAGAAAACTTTCAAGTAAAGAAGATAAGTCAATCAATAAAATTCCATCAATCTCAGAGTTAGAGAATAGAGGGGCAACTATGCTTCTGAAGGAGGATCAAACAAGCAAAGTGTTTCAAGAGTACCCTCACATGTTCGCTCATGCTGGTGACTTGACAATCAATGATGTTGAAGACCTGCTAAATAACTATAAACAACTTGTGTTCAAGTATGTCTGTCTTTTGAAAGGATCAGGTGGTGGTTCTGCAACTTTTCCTTTGTCTGGTTCTCAAGTTCAAGCCCAGCAACATGTTGAATCAGTGAAAGAATCTGAAGATAATAGGGTGATAGAACAAAAAGTTGGGTTGCAAAATGATACTGACAGGGTGGATGACGGTCCACATAGAATTTCTAATCAAGAAAATATCGAATCCAATTTCCCAAAGGGTGTGGCAGTTGCACCCTCAGAGGATAACCATGATGATACCTTTGAAAAATAGCTGATTGTGAAAGATGTTCTTTTCTGGATTATGTTGGCGTTTCAATGTTGCGGTAACCAAACCACTATGGATTTTTCTTTCCTTTTATGTGGTGAATTGAATGCTGTTGTAATTTCAAATTAAAAGGCAATGGCAGGCCATAGTTTTAACTTTGAACTTGAATGACAGACCATTTTGCTGTCCAAAGAGAGATGACCCAACAAGGGTGGTGAAGTTAGCATTTGGTTTGAGAATTCATCATAAATGCAAGTTGTGCAGTAACTCCCCTGACTCAACTCAGCAAAGCCTTGTTCCAGCACACATACATGATAGGTGCGATTCTTGTGTCATCTTTGTATGCTATATTTTGGTTCATCCTGAAAAGTAGGAAGATGTGAACTAGGAACTTGTGTTTTGAAGCAAGGTGTGGCAACCTTTTGAATTATGCAGCAATGATGTTGCACTGATAATTGATTGAAAGATATAGATAGATATATTGAACATCGGTGAATTATATTCTTGACTCATAATTTGACTTTGTTTCTTACTATTAAAGGGCAGGTAAATCATCGGATTGATTTCTTTATTCTTTTTTAACATATCTGTGTGTATGGAGTGAGTGCCTCTCTTGCCTGCCTTTCTTTTATACATGTTGCCCCACCTCTAAGATGGAGATGGTGAATTGCCATATTAACATTATATTTTACTAATATTTTATATGGAGATAGAATATTTTGCTAATATTTATAGTGCTATATGGAGATGGGTTTGGGTCGCGCTAACAGAGAAGCATGTCTTTGATAATATAGGCAATCTCTGGCAATGCTACATTGGTCATTGATGAGGTAGCTTCCTCTATTTCCACTTGCATTGATAAAACAATTCTTTATTTTTAATACACTAAGCAGTAAAAGTTAAAAATACCCACGTTACAATTATTTATTTTGCAGATATACATATTGTTGCAGGCCCCCCAGCCGATCGTTCTTCGTAATTACCAAATTCCAACTTTTTTATATACATAATGTTGGATTATTCTCTGTCGTGGTCTCTTTGATTTTACTGGTTTAACTAATGTACTTGTCAATAAAAAAATCTCAAACTTTCAAACACGAGTCGGGAATGAAAAAATCTTACAAAAGTTATGCATTTCCCATGTATACATTTAAAACTGATTTACAGAATATATAATTATCACATTTACTGATAATAATTTTTATTTATTATTTATTATTATTTTATTTTTACATTTGGAATGCGAAATGCAAATGCAAGATGGTAATGTGGCAAGTTAACTTATTTTCATTGAAGAGTTTTCGGAAAAAAGGTGATACTATGTACTACTACAGAATAGTAGCTTATTTTATGCCCCTTTGATGGTTATAATTATTATTGTGGCATGGTACATCTTTTATTTTAATTTTTGGCCGCCGGGACAACCTCCATTAATACCAAAATTATGATTTTTTTTGTCCATCAAACATTTCGTTTGTAAGTTTTAAATTTTATTTTCATTACCAACAATCTTCCTTAATCAATAGTTTATAAATTTTTTGTTAAGATCTGCGGTCCTACTTAAACTCTGAATCTGGAAAGCCTTCCCTCGTTATAAACTTTCATCTGCCAACAAAAATTATGATCTCTCTCACTGGGAGTTGGCTTGACTTGCCGTTCATATTACCATGTATATAAACCTCAATTTCACTTTATTAAAAAATAAATAAAACCCTTACTTTCTTGTGTTTTCTTTGTTTATCTTGCAACCAAGAGCTTCAGTAAGGGGAAAAGAGAAAGATTTTTTGTCAAAAATCACAACAACTCATACTTGACCAAATTTTTTATCCTTCTCAAAGCAAAGTCATGAGATTTTTGTTTTGGCATTTTGTCAATTGTACATAAAAAAACAAAGGCAAACCCCATTTTGCCTTTTTATCTCACCGTCCAGTGCGCAGGCCTGCCTTTTTTCTTGTACGAACAGTAAAAGATTAACATTGCCCTTATAACGTAGCATATTTTTATTTCATTATATGGGTTTTTGAGTATTTTTTCAATTAAATTTGGTGTCATGGGACTCGTGATATTAAATTCAGTCAAGACCATTATTAGTAGTAAAAATATTTCTCATTTTTTAGTATATTTCTCCAAGAAAAAAGAGTTGCATGAATAAGTATAATAGGCTTTTTCTCCTAAAAAAAAAAAGGGAATATCATGTTCGGCAAACAAGGCAGTCGGGAGGATAGTACTAAGCTACTTCTACTCCTACCATGAACCAAGTCCAACTGTCACGTGGCTTCCACATGCGATAATACAGGGAGTGTCGGCTGAGCTGTAACTGTGAGCAGCTCTTTTATTTTTTATATATTTGTTATCTTTTTTTCTCCAATTATCTCCACGTGTACGATCCCGTCTTCTTTAGCCTCTGCCAATCTGATCATCTCACTACACTTGGATTAAACAAATATGCAGTTTAATCTTTTTTATTGATCAGATTCAGATGGATATCGACGGCAGTGATTGGTCTTTAGTTCTTTCCAATCGACGGTGGTGGTAAATGCTCAAAACATGTCTATGACGTGGCACCGACTCAGCGTTTGAGTGGCCTTGTTACCCACCACCCATAAAATAAAATTTAGTATTTTTATTAAGGAAAATGAAATTGAATTATATTAAAGGGTTGTAAAAATATAATACTTCCTCTGTTCCAATTTATTTAGGTGATACTAATTTTTATGGAGTTTAATTTTTTTTTTAATTTTATTGTATTTAATATTAAAATTAAATTTTTTTATAAATTTAAAATTTTATAATTTTTAAGATATTTAAAAAAATGAGACAAAAAAATATGTTATAAAATTATAATATTATCGTTTTTAATTGTTTGATCTAATGGTTGGATCAACTTTAAAGAAAATATCAAAATTGAAGTTCGAATTATAATATTTTTTCTTTTCTTTAATGTAAAATTATATTCCCTTGAATGACAAAAAAAAAAAAATAGCATTGTCGTAAATTATGCGTTTCACTTATGAGTTTTTAGTTTAGTTATAACGAAATCTATTTTAAAATTAAAAGTTTTGAATTTCAATTCAAATTATAAAAAATAAAAAAAAAAAACATAAATTATGAGTTTCACCTTGAAATGGCAACACTATGAACCTCAAAGGAAGTAAAAGGAGGGGTCAGCCTATGATTTACAATCAATAGCGTGTAAATTTGGCAGAACTGAGATTTGGGCCTTTTTTATCTGAATAAGAAGAAGATAGAATTCAAGTTGGGGAACCTTAAATAATTGTGAGCAGTAACTTCCTTTAATTTACAGCATGCTTACCGGTCTCCAAGGAACCAAAATAATGGTCACGTTCACGCCTTCAAACAAACAAAAGAGCTTCAACTTATTACACCAAGCAATGGTAGACAGACGTTAGATTTATTTAGTTAAGGTAATTCGTATATCTGTATTATATAAAATATAAAAAATTTATATATTTATATTATTTTTTATATAAAAATTATATATCATAATTTATATTTATATAATAATATAAAATATATTTTTTTATTAAATTTATTTATAACTTTTTTATAAAATTTATATATTTATATATTTTTTATATAAAAATTATATATCATAATTCGTATTTATATAATAAAATAAAATATATTTTTTATAAATTTATTTATAATTTTTATTAAAATTTTAAATCGTATATATTATATCATTTTCGTATTATGTAATTATATCATATTTTAAATTATTATATGTAAATTTATCTATTAATATATTCATATTTATTTATTTCATGTTTTATATTTATAAAATATAACATTTATTATATCATAACTCATATCAAAATATTATATATAATATATATTTTTTATTTTTATTATATTAATATAATTTTTGTTAAAATTTTAAATCATATTATTTTTATATATTTTTATATTTTTTTATATTATTCTCATATCATATTATTATATGATGTTTAAAATTATCTCCAAATAGAAACTCACTTTTATTTTGGTCTTTTGTTTGTTTTTAATTGCAATTTTGAAGGCATAGTAAGCATCAAAATAAGAAAATTAAAGTTATAATTGGGAACCTTGTAAAAAGTACAACACTTTGTTCATATTTGACAAACTCAACACTTCTCCTGCCAAAAAGACTTGACAGACTCAACCCCACCCTGAAAACCTTTTAAAAGCCTTCACCTCCATTCATCTCGCTCCCCAACTCCCAAGCTCTTTCAGTTTTCTTGTTGTCATCCATTTCTCTTCAACTTTCTTCAAAGAAAATCAGGAGCTGACATTATGGCAAATGGATATAATCAGCATCTTAATCACAAGGGAACTTTTTTGCCAATGTTGTGCTCAAAACCATCCATTAAAGATGTGAACCTTCCCAAATGGCAAGACAGGTCTGCCTCTTTCTCTGATGACCCTTTGTCTCCAAAGATCAGTTGCATGGGACAAGTCAAGAGAAGCAACAGGATTGTTGGGTTTCCTGCTTCTCACAAACTCACTCTCACCACCAAGAATAACTGCAATAATGGTATCAAGTACTCCAAGCTCAAGAAGCTGTTTTCTGGCAAGAATCTGACTAGCAGCCCTGCCCCAACCACCACCACCACAAATACTACAACCAGTTGCAGAAGAAAAGAAGTGTTAGTAAATAGTACAAGCCGGCCTGATAATGTTGATGGAAAAGAGAATTCTGCTTCAATCAACATCGAAAATATGGATCCTCCTTTGCCTGTGGTCAAGAGAGTGCCAAAACATGGTGATAAAGGAGATGGAGATACTCTTTGGCAGAGAAGATCGCGTGGGGTTGCATTGAAAAGCTTACAGCTTCAACAGATTCAACTTAACAGACATCAAGAACCAACCACAGTTTGATAAGAAAAAGAGAGAAAAAAATAAGGTCAGATAATGCAATAGGTGATGTATATGGTTTGTTCTTAGAATTCCAATTTTGATGATTGTTGTTTCACTTCTGTATTTCAAGAGAGGCATCAAATTATGGTGATGCTAATCAAGATGTATACGAATTATTCATCAATGTTAAAAAATTTAGGCTTTAATCTCTCAAAATTATTGATAGACCTACCACTATATTTTCTTGCCAAAATCAACCGAGTATCCATTAGATCAAGTTTCTATAATCATTCTGATAGCACGATGTTGCTCAATGTGAAGAGGGGACGGTGGGGCGGAGTGGGTTATTAATAAATTCTAAAGCTTGAGGCCTTTGGCCAGTACAAACATTTGGGTAACAATGATAGGGAGGACAAAACAATGTGAAATGGATTTGTGAATGGAACCGAATAATCAAGGGTGATGCACGTACCAAATCAAACATCACCAGACAAAAGCATGTCTCAGTACAATATTTTTTACTATGTAAAACTGGAAGTTTACTGAGAAGCAAAAGGTATAGGCGGTTTGTGGGCTATTTCCATATGTGAATATGCAAGCAGCGGTTGTTATTGTGATTTATGAGTTTTATCTGTTTTTCTTTCTTTTCTTTCCTTTTTTTTATTTTTTATTTTATGACAATATCGTTTTACTTTTCAAGAAGATCCTATAAAAGGAGAAGGCACTTTTTATGTGCAGTCAGCTTCAGTAGCAACACAGTTATGGATGAAGTCTTGGCCTGTTTATTATCTGCAGACTGCTAAATGGCCAGAGATAGGTCTTAGGCCAACAACTCATACATTTGTGCCTTTTTCCAACAAATCCCCTTTTGGCAGGCAATCAGTGGGAGGCTAGCACAACAATAGCTTCAAAAAATAACAATGGGTTTACATGTTACACGGGCAATCAAAGCTGTATCCCTAGCTATAACCTACAACTAGATGAATAATTAAGGACATTGGCTGGCTGTTAGACTAAGGGGTACATTAGTTTCATGTCCTAAAAGCAAGGCATAAATCTGTGGTCATCAACTTGTTGTAATAACTTAGGATTGACGCCCGTGAAAGGTCTACAATTCAGAGTCCGGATATATAGTTTGCTAGGACTAGGATACCTAGCATCAACCCCTTTGATTATTGCCGGTGGATATCTAAGATTGCTTAAATCCAATGATATTTCTAGACAACAGAAAAGATATCTAATATGTAATGTTATACAAAGATTAGTTTTGCTTGTTTCAATTCACCACAAAGAGACTATTTCTTTCACATCCATTGTCAAATTAACCAACATGAAAAAGGGACAAGAAAGAAAAGATAGACAATATCAAAACTATTACTAAATGAATATAACACCTCCACCTCCACCTCCCAAAAAATAAATAGTATCAATACTATTAATAAGTAGAGGGAAGAATGGCACCCCTGGGACAATTAACAGCAGATGAAACATCCACGTCGGAAAATGTTTTCTGAGGATAAACAAAATGTAGGTAGAACATGATAAATGAATATAACACCACTCAGAAGCAAAGAGGGAAGAGATACGACTCAAAATTGCAGGCCGAGGAACAAATCTGATCTCGCACATAAGAGGGAAAGAGTCATTATATTGCATCTCATGGTATACATACATATACAGGTTAGCTTGTCACGACATGTCTCAGGTGATGGGTTATGGCAGTAAAGCACGTCACGATAGTACGAGCTCTTGATTTTTAGGTTTCTGATTTCTAACTTCGTATCCTAACACATCTATTTTATAAAAACACAAGAAGTTACTAATTCCTAGAAAACAGCAAGTAATTAAACAAACTCGTTGGCGTAACTCGAATCTGTTCTTTATACAAGCAGCATTAGCATTAGCAATCAACTTTGTTCTTTATATGGTGTCCAGATTAATTTGCTAACATCAACCTCGAGACCACCACGGCCAGCGGCTTTAAGATGACGATCCAAGACCTTGGGATCTGCACAGATAACATGCTGCCCTTTCCTGTACTGAATCAGTTCTAGACTTTGCAGAGTGGTCAATATATCCTCAGCCTTTATGGCTGTCATGTCACTGAGCTCCTGGAGAGAAATAGATTCATGTAGAAAATTAGTCATAACAATTCAGTGACCATAATGCAATGATCTTTGTACAACAAGCATTAACCAAAATTCTAAGAGATATTGCATAATAGATACAGCTAGCCGGCAAAAACTCACCAACAAACAAGAACAATCAATTTATCACAGGGGAGCATCAAACCTATCAATTCAGGCATGCTCTTTAACATCATTTTCATTTTTTTCTAATTTCCACATGGAAGAAAATCTAAACCACAAGTTTTATTTTACTATTTTAGGATGCTCATTTTTTTTATCTAGGTTATTGCCCCATCCATGCTCTGTTCACCGTTCTAAAGTGAACACAAGCAAGTTTACTCATGAGCTACTCAAGCTAGATTCAAAATATAATCGGATTCAATTTGTTGATTGCAGATTAAAGTCAAGTGGCTTGAGTAGTCAAGCAGACCAAGTTTGAATGTTTTATTTTTCATCTCTAAAATCTCACAAAACTATTTAAAGTTTTTCTTTATTATTATTTAGCATGTAATTAAGTCTTTCCAGTCAAACTTGAATTTAATTTGATGACAGTTGAGTTCGATTGAGTTGAACTTATTCATTTTACCATGTAGGCTTGACTCAATTCAACCACTCTCCCAAGCAAGCGCATAACCTCTCATAACAACAAAGCAGAGGGAACTGCAATAGAAAAAAGATGGAAAAGAAAAGAAAAGAAAACAACTGCCACTAGATTATTAATACAGCTTCAGGCAGTGATACCTTGATGGAAATATTTCCTTTATGCTTTTTCAAGATGTCTAAAAGAACCCTTGTCCAGTACCCTCTGTAGCTCAACAGCCCCAGATCAGAAAGTGGTCTTTCAGGTGTGCCAACTTTACCTTCTTTCTTCGAAAGTTCATATGCTAGCCCATAACAGAGACGAAATAAGCAATAAAATTCAACTAGTAAATAACCAATAGGATGGAATGCAAAAGGCAAAGGTAAGTATAGAAGCAATAAAGATCAATAGTTTGTTGCTATGAATATTAAGGAGTGAGTAACCTAGAGGGGAAGTTATAAGCGTCACTGATGCTAACAGGACAATTCTACTTAATAAATATGCAGCAGCACCTATTTCTAGTTAACTAACTTGAGAACAATTTCAGAGAACTAAATTGATGGTTATATTGTGAGACTAAATAAGAATGAAACATTCTCGTTTAATGCTGAAATCAATAATCATCATTTTGTACTCTCTCTCTCTCTCACTCACTCAGTCACACACACACACACATACAAAGAGCTCATATATTCTGATCCATTCATAAAATAAGGCAGAAAAAATCAAAAAATAAAATTGCAGGCAGGGAACTTACAAAAGGCAATTAAAAACTTTCCATAGCCTTTCCTCTGATATGGAGGGAGGGTGAGGATACATGCCAGATTATATGATTCTTCTGAATGCTTTTCCTACATGATCAGAGACAAAATGATAAAGAAGATATCATTCGTCTTGTGAAGCACAGTCTCAAACATAGAGGTCACGATGAAACGGCAAAGGAGAAAAGATTGGTAACATTGTAAGCACTAGTCTTCACATATAAAAACTACAGAAAACTTACCAGACATGCTATGGGTTGAATAAACAACTGAAAATCTCAAAATACACACAGATAAACAATAAATTCTACAAATTGAAAGCTTCTAATTTGAGGCTACAAAGGCAAGAAATGTTGTGTGCACAGCATGCCACTTTAACTAGTAAATTGCAATTACAAAATATTAAAATGGCCACAAACATATAAAGATTCATTATAACCCTGCACTGCATCAATTATAAGCAACAAAAATGCAATAGAAATTACCTTGGAAAAGTATCCAACCATATGGCAACCTCGATCATCACATTCACATAAAACATAAAACAGAAACAGGTCAACATCATAATAAAGGGTCTTGTGGTCAAGGAATAACTTCGCCAAATAACAAAGATTCTGCCCATAAACTTTGTTCTTTTTTCCATCAACCTGTTAAAAAATATTTTGATCAAAGGAACAAGAATGTCAGAAAAGATAATAGATCTGCAGCATTCTACAACATGATGTTATGTAGCAGGAAAATACAGTATGGGAGGTAGAATAAAAGAAAGAAAATGTTGACAAATATTTATACACTCGTAAGCCAAAGTTAAAAATAATTATCTCAAAGCAGACAATACTTTTTTCAGAGTATCTTTTAAGAAGATCTCATGATTATTTGATTCATATATAATTGAACAGTTGTGAAAATTGAATTTTGAAAAGTTACACTTCTTTTAAGTAAAACAATAGGGTAGGATTTAAGAAAACCAGACTCATACAAATTTACTTAATTAGCACCAATTAAGACCCTTTTCCTTTTCTTTTTTGAGTTTTTCACAAAAGTAGCAGTGGTAAAAGCTATTCCACAACATACCTCAAACATTGACAGCGTGCCACTTCGATATATTTCATCCCCAGGGGGGTGTTTCAGATCGCACTTTCTCTACAGATTAGTATTAAAACAAAGTGTTAATATTATTTCAGACCCATTTGTGTCTTAAGGTAGTTGGACATTGACAAAAACTATTTTTTCATTAAAAAAAAAAAGAAAAAACAAAAAATGATGTTTTTCAAGGGAGCTACATCCAACATCTGTACAACATTCCATCCTATCACTGACACAAGAAAGGAAGTAAATAACTCATAATATAAATGCAGGCATAAGTTTTCTAAATAAACAATTACACTGCAGGAAAAAGCAATTTAAGATATTACTTCAAGACATCAAGAGAAAGATTATCGTTGCATATCTTGATCATAAAACACAATGGCCATTGTTAACCATTACAGCAACTAAAACACTGGAGAAACAAAAGAAGAAACAGTCCCAACACCATTACCATAAGCTTTTGCCATTTTCAAGCTTTAACAAAATGAAAATTATTGATAATCAATCATAAACAAGAACAAGACACTAAAGAGCTTTGTAAGGCAAATTACACATATCACACTTGTGGTTTGGTGGACATCACTAATTACCCAGCATTTGAAAAGCTATATTCAACCATTAGATCTGCTCAATCATTAAAGAGAGATAACAAAGATTTTATTTTAAAAAAAAAAGGGTAAATACAAAGAGCCAGCACATCAGTGTGCAAGTATTGTTTTTATCTTAATTAATTAGGTTAAGTGCAGGGATTTAAAATACGGTAGCAATCGCGTTTTTGGTCATGTTACGTTTATCGCGGTTGCAGAGATACGAAGACCTTTGCAGTCATTGCAGTTATTGTGGTTGTGAATTTTCTTTTTAATTTTACTCAACTTACTATAAAATGTAGTAATTTTAATTATTAATCATAATAACCTCTTATTTTATGATTTTTAAAATAGTTTATATCATGTCATGTCTTCTATCTATTTAAGAAAAAATATTTATAGTAAAATATTCACATTTAAAAAATTACTCATGACAATTAAAAAATAACAAAAGATAAATAAACATGTGAAAAATAGATAACCGTAGTAGATGATATATTTGATTCTTTAATTACCGTATACTCATCAAGATATTGCCAGACTATATTGTGCAAAAATCAGCTAACAAGTGGTTAAGCATCCATAATTTAAGCAAATGACATGATTTGATTTTGGCACACTCTCTATTAATGTTTCTTTTTGTTTATGTACTTTACGCATTATCTCTGTTCATGGGTAGTTTCAGGAAATTAAATAAATGTTTTAAGCATTAATTAGTTTAATTTACAATCTTCTTTTAACAGCTGGCTCACACTCTTATCGTATTTATCCTTTCAGCTTCTTGTTTAGACCTACTAGCTAGGTTTACCAAACCATCATCAGGCTCTTCCACACTAAACCCGACTCTGCTATCGTCATCCTTGGCCTAAGAAATATTCACAGAGCCTGGATCTTCATTATCCACATCATTTGGGCCCCATGTCACAGGCACCAAGCAGCTCCTGGACTCCTCAACCCATTCTTCCTCACTTTCATTGGATTCATTCTTACGTACTGATTTCCAAACTTGTTCACTGGGTTAGCAGGAGCATTACTAGTTATGGGCCTAGAATAAATCAAACTTGTTAGCCTGTCTCCACACAGAGGGCAATCCTCAACAGCAATAGCTTCCAAGTCTACTTCCTCTGCCTCTTGTCTAAATCCCACAGACCCACACCACATCTTCTCATCCCCTCACCCTGTATTCACTAATTTTTCTCTCCAGGCTTTCACCATCATCCCCATCTCTCAGCTCTCTTTTTTTCTGGTGTGTTATCTCTGCTCGTCTCCTTCAACCTCAAGTCTCACTCGCATCTCTTGTCTCTCGTTTCAAGTCCCAGCAGCTCTTGCCCCCTAGTAGCAGTGCACCATAGCCCAGTCTAATCCCAAACACATAGAATCACTGCAAATTTGGAAAATTTTCAACATAAAAAAAGGTAATTTGAGTGTTGAATTACTTGCTTACCTTAAACTGCATTTGCTTGATCTTAATTGAAGTTGAATTTGAGAGAATTGATGTCTCTAGAAGTCTAGGTTGTGTTTTTTTTTTTTGGCTGAATTTATGAATTGATGTCAGTTTTCTGGCTTGCTTTTTCTGTTTTAAGTTTTTAACACGAGTCAAATGAATTTTTTTTCCTTGAATTTTTGAATTAAAAACGGAAGTAGCGGGCAATAGTGGACTGCTATTGCCTCTCTTCAACGTTACACCACATTTTGCAGCCACGATGGGCCACTACAGTTGGGATTCAAATTCTCTGTTTTTTCTTCAATAGCGGTGGCGGATGGTGGCGCTACCACGAAATAATGGCCACTATACTGCTATCCTACTGCTATTTAAATCCCAGGATTTAAGAGTGAAAAAGCAAAAGGAAATGCTAAAGCTCAACATAAGGTTCTACATCTACATAACTTCTGTAGTTCTAAAGGATGAATATAAGGATGATACATATAGCTCTAGAGGATAAATAGAAGGATGACTCTATCCTATATAAAAATTAAACAGAGTAACAACAAGACGAGAAGGATTACTTGTCAAACCAAGGTTGCTAAGTGACTTCCATCCAAAGCATACATGAAGAAAAACAATTAGTTAGGGGTCACTTGTCAAACCAAAGGTCACATGGTGATTTTAACCCAAAGCATACAGAAGAAAAGCAATTTGCCCTAAATGATAAGCAAAACTAATGTTCATGACAAATGAAACAAAGTTGCATTACAAAATTCGATAGCAGTCAAGGATACCATGGTTCACACTAGGTACTTACAAAGCTAGAAAGGAACCAGTACATAGAGGACAACTGAAATTCTACAAACTAATGCAACCCAAGTATTATAGGGAAAAAAAAATTATTGCCATATTAAGGAAAAGCTCACCATATGCCTTTGAAGTTGCTCTTTGCGCTTCATGAAGTTGAGGCAAAACTCACAAAAGTACAACTTCAATGATTCATTATATTCAGGTGGAAAGGGAGAGAAGTACCATGTTTCAATCTCATATCTTCCAAGTTCTATGGTCGCTATATTTTTCACCTTTGTGAATTCCTCATGTTCACGCAAGCTAGCAGCATCTAGCTCCTCGTGACCCTGTAGAAAAGAAAAGAACATACTATTACAGATAATAGAATTGCATGAAAGCAACAACATTTAGAAATTTCAAATAAGCCTCCAATTTTTACACATCACCAAGTGAAAGTTTTATGTTTACTTACTACTTCCACGTGTGTCTCATCAATCTTACGTTTCTGATGTCGCGTCATTTTTAAGCTTGTTACCTGAAACCTCATCAGGCAAAGTTCTTCTAATTAATACAACCTCAAAGATAAAAAGTGCGGAAATTGAAATGTGAGTACCTAGTTGGAAACCAATGTTTACCTTGTCTTCAACCTTTTCATCAACAACTGTTTCCACTGAATCAAGATCAAGCTGTTCAAGCTTCACCCATTCATCAAGCCTCCTATTAACTATCATTTCAATATTATTATTATAACAAAAAATATATCAATTTCCAACATTTATAACATAACAATTCTAAAATTTCATTGATATTATACGAAACCCTAAAAATGAAATTTAAATAGGGAGGCTAGAGATCTTACACTCGGTGTAATGAACGTAGTATTCGTAATCATCAGGCCCACCGAAGTGCATCTTGCGCCGTTCGATGACCTTGACGGGATGATACTTGCCGTCTCTCCAGCGGCACATCACGCGAGTACCCACTTCTAGAGGGAGCACACTCGACCTTCTCTTTTTCGTTGCCTCAGACTCCAGCGTCATCTCCGCTGGGGCTCCGTTTGCGGAGGCCAAACGCTTCTGATCGCCGTCGGCCGTTGCTGCGGCGTGAGACTGTGTTGTACCGTTTTCTGTAGTCGTCGGTGCGTCTATGGAACCCATCGGTGGTGTCGGTTTGAGAGGTTTCAGACATCCAAAATGGGCTCGAAAGGTTAGCCGTTACGATACTAAAAAATGGACGAAGATCAGTTTTTGGGCTTTAGCCCATACGCTTCTTCCTTAAGTGAATTAACAACTGCGCCTGTGGGTCTCTTCCGTAGGTCCCAGAAATTCTCCGGTTTATTATTTTTGGTGGTTTCTACTTTCTTTGAAGTTGATGTGGGAGAATGAGCCTGAGGTAGGACGCGAATGAGAAATTAAGGTAGTGGCTAGTTTTGAAAAATAGAGTTATTTTTTGTTTTTATTTTTTTAGAAAATAAAAAATATAAGTGAAAATATATTTGATAATTCAAAATGAAAATAAATTTTTAAAAAAAATAAAAATAAGTTGAAATATGAAAATAAAAAAAAAGATATTTTTAATTATGAAAACAAAAGATATTCATTTTTTTTTTTAATTTTTTGTAAGTTACTGTATTTAAACACTTTTAATGTTATTAATTAATTAATATATATTATACTTATAATTAAATACCATTAATAACAATATCATTAAATATTTTATTTATTTTATTTATTTTTGCATTTCTTGAAAACAATTTTTAGTTTTATTTTCCAAATAAATTATTAGAAAAAAATAGAAAATAAAAATTATTTTCTAAAAAATGAAAATAAAAAATAAAAACCAAAAACATTTTCTTAAACCAAATAGAGCCTAACTCTTTTCTAATTTTTGTTGTTCTTGATTACCAAATAAGCCTTTACTCTTTGGGAAAATCTTTAAAATGTATTTTTCATTCTCTTAATGATTTTAAAAATATTTTTTTTACATTCATTTAAAAATACTACTCACAAAAATCAAATTTCAATTTACAAAAAAAATCCTCCTTAACTATTGGACTAGTGTAAAAAGTATATAATTCTAAGAGTTAATTTTTTATATACTATTAGTGTAATTTTTAAATTTTATAAGCAAAATTAAAAAATTTATACATGTTTCATTTTTTAATTAATTTTTTATTTTTTAAATATATAGAAAATATATCATCTTACTACTACTAATCCCATTTTTAAAAGTGTAAAAACTTCACTATAATAGATAAAAAAAATATTTTATAATTGTACAAGCATAAGAAATTTATTTGTTTTTGTATTTTCAATTTTTTAAAAATAATTTTCCTATTTATAAGATATATTTTGCAAATATACAAAGCACAGGACTTTTCATTAGGAGTGTCATGCAATGGCTTCATGGTTTACCTTTTTTTTTTTTTTACTTTTTAAAAATACATGAAAAATAAAAAGATTTGGTGAGATTTTAGAGTACAAAGACTACGTTTCTTGCATAAGAAAAATAGTTTTTGTAGTTTTTTGTTGTAAAAAAAGTTTTTGAGAAAGTAAAAAGAGAAAATATGGTGAGATTTTGGTGCACAAAGATTATGTTTCTTACATTAGAAATGCAGTCTTTATAGTTTTTCTTTTTACAAAAAAAATTATTGGAAAAGTAAAAGGAGAAAATTTGATGAGATTTTGGTGCACAAAACTATGTTTCTTACATAAGAAATGTAGTTTTGTAATTTTTTGTTGTAAAAAAAAAATTCTTGGAAAAGTAAGAGAAGATTTGGTGAGGTTTGTTGACTTATTTTTTCCTTTATCACTTTTACTTCAGTGCACAAAGTTTACATCTTTTATATAAGAAAGTAGTCTTTGTAGTTTTTTATTGTGAAAAAGAAAAGTTCATAGAAAAGTAAAAGGAAAAGATTTGGTGAGATTTTGGTGCACAAAGACTACATTTTTTACATAAGAAAGGTAGATTTTGTAATTTTTAATTTTAAAAAAATTCTTTGGAAAGTAAAAAGAAAAGATTTAGCGAGATCATTGACTAACCTTTTTCCTTTATCACTTTTACATTTTTTAAGATTATTAATTAATATGTGAAGTGATAAAATAATTATTGGAAATGTAGGATGAAAAGAGTTGATGGAACTCAAAGAACCTCTATCTAAAAGTATAAATGTAGTCATTAATTAAAAAAAATTATCAAAAACTACATTTTTCAAATTAGAAATGTAATCTTTAGTCAATGTTTATAAAAAATTTTTTATAAAGATCACGTTTCTAAAAGTATAAACGTAATCATTAATTAAAAGAACAAATATTGATTTGAGAATAGCTATTAAAAGAACAAACGTAGTATATGACTGTAATTTTATGTCTTTAAATTTTTTTTATTTTAAAAAGAACTACATTTTTTATATTGGAAATATAATCGATCAATTAAAATAATAACAAAATAATATAGCTATTTTCATATCAACAACAATTATAATGTTGACGTAATTTAAAAACAATATTTATTATACTTAACAATATAGTATTTACTAACAAAAATCACATTTATTAATTTAAGAACATAGTTGATAATCTATTAAAAAATACATTTTTTTTCAAAATATGATTGATAATAAATAAAAAAGTTAGATTTAAAAATTTGTTTTAACTACGTTTTTATATCAGAAACATAGTCTTTAAATTACAAAAAACACGTTTCTGACATAAAAAACATAATTTTTGAACACATTGCAAATACCACTTTTTTACTTAAAAATATTGTCATAACGTATATATTCGTAGACCTACCGTTAGACATAGGCTTTAGAAATCGTCACCAATTTTTTTGTTAAGATGTGATTGGTTACTTGATAAAATCTGTTTTATTTAAATAGGAGTCTTAAGATTAACTTAGGTATTTTTAAATAGTATATTTTAGTCCACGAAATCAAAATTTAGGTCTGAGAGTATGGTTATGCATAAGAAAGGTTATAATACCCTCACAACACTTATCCAAAAGATAATACCAGTATGATTTTAAGTTATCCAAACCTTAAAACATATTTAAAATTTACCAAATAATTTAATATTTGAAATTTTTCTTAAATTATTTCAATATGTTAGTAATAATTTAACAATATTTTTCACCTCAAAATATTCAATGAGACTATTTTTCATACTTTGAATAGGGCTCTGTCGTTGGATTCACTTAATTTTACTTCTAAAAATAAATATCTATAAATAGGGTTTATAGTAAAAAGATATCATTTAATCTATTAATAAAACTTTTTGTTAAGAATTATCCTTCAATTTATTGGTAGGATTTTTATGCAAAATAAATCAAGAAATCTTTTATTTATTTTTTTTATTTAAAATTTTAAAAATTATAAGGCTCTCCAATATATTGATAAAACTTTTATTTTTGAAAAGCATTGGCCCTCAAATCCGTTGGTAATGCTTTTTATTTTTATATTATTTTTATTAAAATAAATAAAATTGTAGGACTTTTAAATATATTGATAAAATCTTATTTTTTTTAAAATGACCTTCTAATTTGTTAGTAAGGCTTTTAAGTATATTTTTTATAAAAAATATATATTATTATTTTTTAAATAATAGATTCATAAATAAACAAATAAATAGTGAAATAAAATAAAAAATGAAAGAAAATGAAAATAATAAAGATAAAAGGGAAAATAATAAAAAATAAAAGAAAAATACTTAAAGTCGGCTCAGAAGGTGATTGGGGCAAGCGGTTCTGCTTCAGGTATAAAAAGAGGCTGTTTCGACGCAACTCAAGGGCTCAACTCAAAACTTACTCTACTTAGGTGAACCATGGGTCGTCAGGTAATGCGGTTCGGTTCGGGTTGGATCGGGTCGTGACAAAACACATGGATCAATATAAAAAACCCCAAAGTTATTTTTTACCCAAAATTTCTTTGCATACTCTCTTTCTAGTTCTTAAGCCTCTCATTTTAAATACTTTTTCGATGCCAGGATCTGCAAAAAACCCATTAAAAAATTCTTTACCTACCATGAACTTCAATTGGATACTGGGTTGCTCATCGAAAATTGGATATTTCATCGAAAATCCACAAAAAAATTCATGATTTAACCAAACAAATCATACAAAACCTAGAAAAACTCAAATTTTCCCAGAATTTCCCATAATCTTCCCAAAACCCAAAAATTCCATTATTCTCCTAACCAGTCTAAAATCTTCTTTTTCATTAATTCCAAAAACAAAAAGACATCACTCAAAATAAATCCAACATCTCTCTAACCTTATTTTACTAAAAACAAAATTTTTTCTCTGCATGTGAACCTTGCGCTTGATTTATACCCTTTTGTAGTAGAAAATTTAAAGGATTTAACAGATTTAATTAGGGCTTAAATCCTTGGATTCTGATTCAATCATGGTCCTTCAATTTGGTTTCCTATCTTATGTCAATAAATCCCAAACCTTTTCTGCTTATTGATGCAAAAGATTCTTGTAAACTTAATTCGATTTTTTTTCCTTTTTTTTGTTACAGAATCAGATAAACAAAAATGAAATAACAACATAAAAAATATAAAAATGTTATTTGGTTAACCAGTATGGGGCCTAAAGCTCGATCCATAAAAACTATTCACTGGGCCTCTAAGGCCTAACAATCTCGATGGAATTCTCAATCAAGAAAAAGTTGTATATCCTGGACAAAAACGGATGTCTATAAACATGATTTAAAAACTAATAAAGATCACTTTTTTTTTTAAATTTCAAAACGTAGTCTTTGAAATAAAGATCATGTTTCTTATATAAAAATGTGGTCTTTATTAATATCATTGATGACATCTAGTTCATAAAAGTGAGATGTTGACTTAATAGATGTTTAGTTTAAATATGAGATGTAGAGCCCAATATTTTCGGTTGTATTTTTTTCTTCAAAGTAAAACTTTCTTTGTAAGCTTTTAACTACTTTAAAAGTTATGACATGAGAGTAGAGTCAGTAGGTTCATAATGTCAGAATCATTGTAAAAAAAATATTAAAAATATTAAAAGGTAATCACAAGACAATGATGCTTTTTTTTTTTTCAAAAAAATTACAAAATAAGTATTAAGATAAAATTATTTATAAATTAATGCTATGATAAACTAAATTAATTAATTTTTTTTAATTTTTTAAATTAATAAAAAATATAATTACTTTTTTATCTTAATGTTTAATTAGATATAAAATTATGATATGGATAAAAAATATTATATGTACATTTAATAAAATATATATGAAGTTATCTTACAATATTCATCCATCCATATAATAAATTTTGTAAGTTTTCTTTGTTTAATAAACTTTATTTAAGGGAAATGTTAAATATAAGCTTTTGTTTTCTTTGTTTTTTTTTTTTTTTGGTTATTATCTGTATTTTTTCATATTTATTAATAAATATAAGCTTTAAA